AGAAGAAGAAGAAGAAGAAGAAGAAGAAGAAGAAGAAGAAGAAGAAGAGAAGAAGCAGCAGCAGCAGCAGCAGCAGCAGCAGCAGCAGCAACAGCAGCAGGGGAGCAAAAGAGAGGAGAGGAGAGAGGGAGGAAGGAGTGTGGGAGGAAGGAGAAGAGAAGGAAGGAGAGGGGGGAGGGAGGGAGACAGGGAATGATGTACTTAAAGTGGCAATGATGAAAAACAGGCAGCCTTGGTGTAACAATTCAACAAACAGGAAGTTCAGAAAGATTCAGAAGTAAGTGTGCTTTGTGTTGTTGCTTTTAAATTTTTATTACATTTTCATTTGTGTGTGAAGGAGTCTGTGAGTGTGTGTGTGTGTGTGTGTGTGTGTGTGTGTGTGTGAGTGTGTATGCATGGGAGTGAGTGTATATGTATTTGTAAGTGTGTATGTATGTATGTGTTATGTGTGAGAGAGTATGTGTGTGTGTGCGTGTGTGTGTGTGTGTGTGTGTGTGAGAGAGAGAGAGAGAGAGAGAGAGAGAGAGAGAGAGAGAGAGAGAAACCGTCTAGGTCAGAGGACAACTTAAGAGAGAGAGAGAGAGTCCGTTTAGGTCAGAGGATAACTTACAGGAGTCTGTTTTCTCCTTAATCCCATAGGTTCTAGAGATTGAACTCAGATCATCAGGTTTGCCAGTTGACACCACCCACTGAACCATCTTGCCAGCTTTGTTCATTCTTGAAAGAGTTTCACTTTGTAGCCCAGGCTAACCTTGAGCTCAAAGCAATCTTACCATAACTGCCTAAATGCTACAATTACAGGCATGAAACACTATGCTAGCCCAAATAAGTATTTATTTGGAAAATACATCTTACCATTATCCTATGCCATACACAAAACCTGTCTCCAGTTGATCATAGATTCAAATTTCAAAGATAAACCAAACAATGCTCTAGAAAATGTCATGGAAAATATTTTCATAACTTCAGGTAGGCAAAACCATTGAGGATAAGAATGATAATTGGACTATGATGAAATTAGAAATTTATCTTTACCAGAAGAATATGTTAGAGCTGGCATGGTGGTGTATACCTGTAATGTCAACACTCAGAGCTGAGACTGGAGACTCTTCAGTGACTTAGGGAGACTTTACCCCTAGAAAGGCAGCAGAGATAGCCCATGGCCCCAAGTTCAATCCCCAGCAAGGGGTGGGGAGAGCAGAAAACCAACGAATTAGAGATGGAGACATTTACAACCCAAAGACCTCCCTGGTCACGAGTTTCACTGGGTTGAGGGTTAAATGAGATATAACATCTGGAAGGGCTGTCACAGTGCTCGGCACACAGGAAGCCTGCCAAAGTTTCTCATGGTGGGGGAGCTCATTGTGAAATTACTGTCAGGAAGACGTGCTACTTACAGGCACGATGGATGATAAGCCTTTAAATTGGTAGAGGGCACTAAGCTCCGTGCCTTCTGTTTCAATACGAATTCATAACTATTTGACTAGGACAGGAACGAAGTGATTGACCTCTTGAGATGCCACTCTTGTTCTGCGTCTTCTGTAAAGTCTAACATTATTTCTCTTCTACTGAGAGATTGAGTCAGAGGACTCTCCCTCAAACCAGTCCCAGGTGGATTGCCCTGTTTCCCTCCCTCCCTCCCTCTTTTCTTTTCTTTCTTTCTTTCTTTCTTTCTTTCTTTCTTTCTTTCTTTCTTTCTTTCTTCCTTCCTTCCTTCCTTTCTTCCTTTCTTTCTTTTCTTTCCTATTTATTTATTTAGTCTAGATAGGATCTCTCTGTTTACCCCAGGTGGCCTTGAGTTAGAGGTAATCCTCCTGTCTCAGTCTTCAAATGCAGCTCTGCTCACTCCTCTCTCCAACACTACTCAGGGAAGGGTCTTAGGGATCTCTTGCTCCTCTGAAAACCGGTCCTTAAGATGCTTAAGCTACCGCTGGCCTTCCCCACCCCAGCCAGCCGCACTGTGCATGCAGACTCTGCTGCAGCTCTGTGTGCAATGGAAGCATTAAAGGACACTCTGTGGGGAGGGTGAAGGGGAGTTTCCCCTTAGCTGTGTCAGCACTTGGTGAGAAATCCCCCTAGACTGCTGGAACCTGCAGCGAGGGGGCTGGGGCTGATCACAGGACATGCAAGAGGGACTTTCAAGCTGGATTCCAAAGGGTCACCTGAACCCCTCAGAGTCAGGTCCAGGAAAAGTCCCTTCTCAGGGAGAGAGTGTTTTCCACTTAATGGGAGTGGAGAAGCTGGAAGCAAGGGCAAAGTCAGAGGCTTCCCTCCTCGGCAGTGGCCTGAGTCCCCCTTCAGCAGGGAGGGACAGAGCATTGGAAGACCTTAGGTTTGCCCATAGGTATCCGGTTAAACTCTCTCGCTCCCCGGGGATTTACCCACAGATGCCTCGGGACACTGATATGAGCCAACCCTGACATAAAGCCACCCCATCAGTTTTGAAAATCAGCTAATTCCCTAGGTCAGCTTCCAGACGCTTTCTCAAGCCTTCTTGGCTTGCAGAGCTTATACACAAGCCTTCCAGCTCATAATAGCCCAGGGACCAAGGAGTGACCTTGCTCCTACTTTACACTCTCCAGGTTGAACTTCAGAGAAACAAAGTGAATTCATCACAAAAGGTAGTTATGGACAAAGAGGTCACCCTGCTGCAGATCCTGCTTCCACTTGGTGCCCAACAATGGTAGTCATCATTGTCCTTTGGAACACCTGTTTTGTGTGTGCACATGTGTACAGGTACAAGTGAACACACACATGCACATGAAGGTCAGAGAGCAACCTTAAAGTATCATTTGTCGGGCATCATCCACTTTTTTGTTTGTTTTGTTTTCGAGGCAGGATCTCTCCCTAACCTAGAACCCACCAAGTAGGCTAGGTGTCTTAGCCAGGTTACTGTACTCTGATGAAACGCTGCGACCAAAGCAGCTGGAGGAGGAGAGAGCTCACACTTCTACATCACTGCCCACCACTGGAGGAAATCAGGACAGGAACCCAAATGGGGTGGGGACCTGGAGGCAGGAACTGATGCAGAGGAGGAGGCCTGGCTTGCTCCCCCTGGCTTGTTCAACCTGCTTTTCTATAGAACCCAGGACCACCAGCCCAGGGGTGGCCCCTTCCATAATGGGCTGGACCCTCCCCTGTCAACCACTAAGTAAGAAAATGACCTATAGTCTATCCTACAGTTCAGTCTTAAGGAGTTTTGTTTATTTTCTCTCAATGGAGATTCCCTCCTCTCTGATGACTCTAACTTGTGTCAAGAAAATTAGCCAGCATACTATGCTTATGGCCCGGGAGTGTCAAGAAGTCACCTAAATCAGTCCACCTGGTGCTGGGATTATAGTTGTGACAACACTATGGCCCAGATTTTTGTTGTTGTTTGTTTTGTTTCTTTTTGTTTGTTTGTTTGTTTGGTTGGTTGGTTGGTTGGTTGGCTTTTCGAGACAAGGTCTCTCTGTGCAACTGTCCTGGAATTAGCTCTTGTAGACCAGGCTGCTTCAGACTCACAGAGATCCGCCTGCCTCTGCTTCCCCAGGGCTGGGACTAAAGGCATGCACCACTACCGCCTGGTTGGTTTTGATGTTTTGAGACAGGGTTTCTCAGGGTAGCCCTGGCTACAGAGAACTTGGAAGAAGTTGCTCTGTAGACCATGCTGGCCGCAAACTCACAAAGATTTGCCCGCCTCTATCTCCTGAGTGCTAGGATTAAAGGTGTGTGCTACTACTGCCCAGGTTTTTCTTTTTAAAATAATTTATTTGTGTCAGATGGTGGTGGCACACGCCTTTAATCCCAGAACTCAGGAGGCAGAGGCAGGCGGATCTCTGTGAGTTTGAGGCCAGCCTGGTCTACAAGAGCTAGTTCTAGGACAGTCAGAACTGTTACACAGAGAAACCCTATCTCGGAAAAAAACAACAACAAATAATAACAATAATAATTTATTTGTATTTTATGTGCATTGGTAGTTTGCCTACATGTATGTCTATGCGAGGGTGTTGGATCCACTGGAAATGGAGTTACAGACAATTGTGTGTCACCAAGTGGGTGCTGGGAATTGAACCCAGGTCCTTTGGAAAAGCAGCCAGTGCTCTTAACTCATCGCTCCAGCCCTCTCCAGCTCTCCCCCCCCCTTTTTTTTTAACAACTCCCTTGAGTACTGATCCCAAGAATCAAAGCTCATAGAGGCAGACTGCTGCACAGCAGCATCCGGCTGTATCAAACTAGCAAGACCAGAATCCAACCTAGCCAGAATCCTTGGTCAGATTTTCTCCATCTGCTGCTGGCTGGTTGGGCCAGGTAGTCAAGCTTCTTGTCTGGGTCTCCATTGGAAGTGCTTGCATAGGAAGTGGAGGAGGAGTTTCATGGGACAAGAGAAAGTCCTCTAAGAGCCATCTACCCCCCCCCCCAAAAGGGGAAAGATGAACCGCACGGAGGTGGGGGAGAAAGGTGCTGAGCTATGCTCTGGAGTTGTAGGGAAGGGGTAACCTAGCAACCACTGGACTCTGCACAGTCACAATGCAACAGCTTTGTTCACAGTTCTGACAAACTTTACCCTTGATTAGTCTTGTCCGTCCTGGTCAGGCACCAGGGGCTGCTTGCTCATATGCTGTAGTGAACATCTTCCTGGTAAGTCCTCTGGAGGGCAGGAAATGAAATAGGCTCTCGCTCTAGGTGAGGACAAAGGAACGAGGCATAAGAGGGCACCCTGTGGTTAGCTTGGTGGTTATCTTCAGATCTCTTGTACCTGACTGTCAAGGAGCCCAGGGTCAGAGGCAGGGGAGAGCAGGGATGGGCTAGAGTGACCTCATCTGTTGCTCCTGTTAGGTCCCTACTGACCCCTCTAGTGTGGGTGGTGAGCTCACTGAAGCAGTTTAATGGGTCACGTCTAACATGCATAAAGCTAAAACACACATACGCACACACAAACCAAATAGACAAAAATCACAAGAAGCAAGTATCCACGTGCATCACATGTATAGCTACTGTTTTAGAGTTTCTCATGTCCATTGCACATGCACACACACACACACACACACACACACACACACACACACACACATACATGTGAATTGAGACCCAAGGAAAACTGGATTTCATGGTGTTGTGAGGTCAAAAGCATTCGAAAGTTTCTATTCTAAACACACACACACACACACACACACACACATGTGAATTGAGACCCAAGGAAAACTGGATTTCATGGTGTTGTGAGGTCAAAAGCGTTCGAAAGTTTCTATTCTAAAGAGTACCTTTTCCTGTAGGCGGGTGGGTGAGGGACTTCCAAATGCCCTGTCTTCAAGTATGAAGCATCTAAGAACCCAGTCCCTGCCATTGCTGATACCTGCCTGAAGCTTCCTGAAGAGGGAGCCCCCGCTCACTGCTTTTAGACAAATGATCAGGAGCCTGTGAATCAGATGCTGGTCCTTGGCTGCGCAGCCTCAAATGAGGCAAGCCTCATTTACTGAATGGAGGTGGCACTGAGGCTTCTCAGAGGGCCTTGCAGTTCTGTGACCCTGAGAGCCATTCTCAGAACGCACTCAGTCCCGTCCCTCGCACTTGCATCGACTTAATCATAATTCTTAGTTTTTGACATCTGTCACCTTTCACCCATTTTTTTTTTTTAAATTGGTTTGCTTAATAGTGCGCTGAACTTTAGTCCGGTACAAGAACCATGGCATCACCATTATCACATCTCCTGTGTCCTCTTCTCCTCCTTGTCCTACTCAAAAATACCACTAGGGGAATTTCCTTAGTTGTTTTATTGTCTGCCCTCATGTTTGTGGTGATTCTGTTTGCCTGAGAAATTGCATGTATGTGTGTGCGCGCATACACATGCGTGTGCAGAGGCAGTTAACGCCTCTACTTGTAGGAGCTGGTTTTTCTCTTTGCATCATGTGGATTGTAGGGATTAAACTCAGGCGTGGTGACAGGTGCCTAAAACTGTTGAGCCATCTTGCTGGCCCTGTGAAATTTTGCTTTTAAAAAGTATTCCCAAGCTAGGCATGGTGGAGTCAGAGGCAGATGGAACCCCGAGTGTGAGGCCAAGGCTGGCCTGGTCTACATATCAAGTTCTAGGCTAACTAGGGCTATTTTAGTGAGCCCCTGTAGCAGTGGTTCTCAACCTTCCTAATGCTGCCAATGACCCTAACTATAAAATTTTGTTGCTAGTTCATAGCTAATTTTGCTACTGTTACAATCGTAATGTAAATATCTGATATGCAACCCCTGGGAACAACAGTCATTAGACCCCCAAAGGGGTCTTGACCCACAGGTTGAGAATCATTATGCTATATGGCTTTTCTAAATCATGCAAAGCACCGTGTGTAAGATTTATCCATGCTGTGGCCGTCACTATGGTTCGCTGCTTCTCACAACACTCTAAATGCTCCATGGTCTGAATGTAGCCCAGGCTTACTCATGCTTCCAGATATATGTGATGGCAGTGTTTTTGTTTCTTGTCTTTTTGTTTGTTTGTTTTTCCTGTTTTGGACCCTCTGAACAGCACTCTTGCAGGCAAACCGTGTTGCACAGCTGTCGGGGTTTTTCTTACCGCTGGGAGGGTAACCGCTGTGTGATAGTAGTGTTTTACCATAGAGTGTTGTCCCCTTCTTCCCCTCAGACTGCCTGTTCCAGTTTGAACACCCACCACCAGTCCATCAGAGCTGCGCCATCCCTAAGAACACTGGCTTTAGGAGTCTAGTCTTTACATCTCTTGTTGCAAACCCTGTGATGACTACAGAGGTGAAAACCCAGTTGGCTGAGCAACCACTAGTGAGGTGAGGGCCTAAATGCACACAGGCCAGATAGGAGTGTGTGTGTGGGGGGTACACACAAAGGGAAGTTGAGGCAGGATAGAAGACAAAGGTAGCCTTGGAGGAACTTGGCAAACAGGGGTCCAAGTTCTAAGAAAGTTCCTCCGTCACCTTGGAATGCCATGCGCCAGGGCCTGGGTGCTGAGTTGGCGTGGGCCTCTGAACTACACGCTAGGAGACAGGCTGGAGTAGAGGAGTTTCCAGTGGCTTCCCCTTATTTGGGGGTAGAGGAGGCTACTAACTGCCACTTCAGAGAAGTTTTATTTCTTTAAGACTGCCTAGAGCTGAAAGGAAAATGGAACAGGAAACTCAGGGAACGGCCCAGCGACATCCTCCCAGGAATCAGGGAAGGCACCCCTGGCTTAGAATATTTCCAGCCCACCTCCACTTGACCAAGGGACCTCCCTCCAGCCAGGGCCAGCAGGAGAGGGAAGTACAGAAAGCCACCAGGCAGGTGGTACAGCAGGTCCTCCTGGGATACCTTTGGCTCTAGACTGACCTCCTCCTCATCCTCCTTCAGGGACAGAGGCTAAGCGTCCTCTGATCCTGAGGCTGGGGTGGGGTGCTGGGAACCTGAGACAGCTGGTCTCCAGCCTAGCCCAACAAGACAAGAGCTGGACGCTTCTCTGCCTCCCTGCTTCCCCTACCCTCCCTCGGTATCTTTGGTGTCAGCTCAGCGTCTTCTGGGAGGGACCTCATGGGGAAAGGACTCACTGGGGCTAGCCTGACCTTGGCTCTAGTCCTGACCCCTAGGTGCTGAGTCTAAGATAATAATGGCCCGGGGGAGGGTGACAGCCTGAAGCTGCTCCTTGGGATTGCCAAAATTCTGGTTTGGGGAGAGGCCTCTAATGAGGCCAGCCTCTGTTCCCAGAGAATATATAGAGAAGGGACTTTTTGGCGCATCCTGGGGTGTGGTGACTAGGTGGGTCTGAGGTTTCTCTTTCTGGTTTTAGATCTGGTCTCAGGAAGAAAGCAGGGATCCTGGGAGATTCCATCTGCTCTCTGACAGATGGGCCCCAGCTCCCTACCAAGGCATCTTAGGAAGACAGAGGCTCACTGGGACCGGATGGCATCACTGGGAAAGGATTCTGGGGGAACAGAGCTTTGGGGGTTATAGGGTGGGGGTGCCACGAAGGCAGATTTCAGCCTCTGGGACTTGGGTTTCATGACAGGCACTTGAGTACTGAGGCCCGGTGAGCCAGAGAAAACACCATTCGCCTCTCTTTAACCATCCTCCTTCAGTCCAAAGGCAGAGCCCGAGCCCAAGAAGAAACCAGAGTACTTTCCGAAGAGCCACGGGGATGTGGGATTCCAGAAAGAGCCCATGGTCCCAGGCATTGTGGATTTCGAGTTGATCCAAGAGGAGCTGAAGACCTCTAAGCCCCAAACACCAAGTGCCTATCGCTTCGGACGCCTCAGCCACCACTCCTTCTTCTCCCGGCACCACCCCCAGCCACAGCGTGTGACACACATACAAGGTAAGGCTAAGTGGGCAGAATCTTGCTACAGGGCTCGGCAGAAGTGGGAATCACTAATTGGCCACGAGATCTGGTATAGAGGCGCGCATTCTCACCCATTTCCAGGGGACACCTAGAAAGCATGGGGCCTGACGGGCATCCCACAGCTGCCCAGTGGCCAAGCCAGGACTGACCTGGGGGATTGGAGGAAAAGTGCAGGCTGCAAGGGCATATCAGAGGTCCCCCCCACTACAGAATTCCCCACCCTCTGAATCAGAGAAAGGGATGAAGGTCTCACCCCCAGAACGATGCTCTGACTTCCGACACTTGCTGCCTCATCCTTTAGGTCATCCACCCACTCACCCATCCGCAGCATTATGCAGAGTGTACACTACAGAATGACTCTTGTCTGGACTGCAAGGACATGACAATAGGCAGAACAGACGAGTGTCGCTGCTGTCCTGGAGCTTACATCCAGCTGGGAAGGATGGGACATAGACTAGCTGTCACTGTCAGGTTCCAGAGCGGGAGATGGCCACTTTCAAAAGGCTGTCAGAAGAGTCCTAGTCAGTGCCAAGACATTGAGAAAGATTAAAGGAAGCAAGGGTGGGAGCCCCAATCAATCAAGCACTAGAATGTCCTGCCGAGGGACACAATGGCCCTGGCTCTGATGGAGATACAGCAGGAGAGCCCCTTGGGTATCTGGAGTAGAGTCAGAAGTAGAAGGGAAGAGATGGTTTCAGAGAGACATTGGAGCTGGATCAAGTGGACCCTGCAAGCCAATGCTGCTGTCTTACGTCACCTCAGCTTGGCATGTGTGTACTTGTATAATGCTGGCATTTGGAATGCAGAGGCAGAAGGATCGCCGCCACAAGTTTAAGGCCACCCTGGTCTACATAACAGGTCCTGCCTAGCCTGAGCCACCTAGGGAGATTCTGTCTAAATCTTGTTGTAATAACAATCATTTCACTGAATCAAGTAGGGGCCATTGGGAGGGTAGCAGTACAGAAGCGACTGTGAGAGAGGTATTTACACAAGGTCCTGCGGGCCTGGATGAAAGCCGAACCATCAGGCTGTGGAAGATTCCACAGCTCTAGTTTAGAGGTACCCCTAGGATTCTGACCACTGAAGATGAAGCATAGGGCAAATAGGCAGCGACATCATTCCTTAATCAGAGTACACAAATACCAAGAAGCCATCAAGGGTCAGTGGAGTAGGGGATAGAGGTGAGGAGGAGCCACAGATGGAGGAAAACAGCCCCAACAGGCTGGGGAGATACACTGGAAGAGTCGTTTGCATTGTGAAGACACAGAGTTTTGGATTAAGAGGCTGAAAAGACTAGGAGACATTAGAGAAGAAGAGGAGAAGCTGAAGAGCCTGGAGAAGCCAGGAGAGTGAGGATCCTGGGACCAAAGCAGTCAAGGCCTAGCCAAGCTTGGTGGCCTAGGCTTGTAATCCGAGAGCTGGGGAGGTGGAGACAGGAGGCTCCCCAGTGCTCTTGGGCCAGCCATCCTAGCTAAATGGGTGAACCGTGGGTCAATGAGAGACTCTATCTCAAATAAAACAAGGTAGATGGCACCTGGGAAACAAGAGCCAAGGTGGTTGTCTGCACACACATGAACATGCACAGGTATGCCTGTGTACACACACAGACACATGTACATGCATGCACGCACGCACGTGCGCTGTTTGACTTTGTGTGTGTAGTGTGTGCGTGAATGTGTATGCACCTATGCCTAGGTATGCGTGTGGAGGTCAGAGGACAGTCTCAGGGGTCAATCCTTGCCTTCCATCTTGTTTAATACAGAGTGTCTTTGTTTTTCCACTATGTATGCCAGGCTAGCTGGCCAGCAAGCTTCCTGGATATTTTCCCTCTGCCCTCCCCCACCTTCCCAGATTACAGATGCTCACACTATGCATCTGGTTTTTATGTGGGTCCTGGGCATTCAGACTCAGATCCTCCCATTTGCATGGCAAGTGATTTTATTCACTAAGCCATCTTCCCAGTCCCTTTAAAACCAAAACAAAACAAAAACAAAAACAAAAACAAAAACAAAAAAAAACCACGAGTCTAGGTATTGAACTCAAATCCTCTTGGTTTCAAGGCAAGCACTTGCCAACTGAACTGTCTCCCTGGCCCCCACAGTCTTCATTTTTAAGCCACCTACAATTCATTGACCTAACACAGGAAGCCAAAAGGACCTCAGGAGGTCCCATGAAGGCCTGACTGTCTTGCTTCTGCCCAGCTCACTGATGACTCTGAGCAGATCCTTCATGTTCTTGTACCCATGAGTATGGTGATTGCTGGTCTAGGGTTTTGCCGTTACAGGCAGAGGGGGACTTGAAGCGCTCTCTGGCCCTCATCACCTCTTTCCAGCCCCCTGGAGCTCCTGGGAGTCCACCAGTCCCCCTAACCCACAGGTCTCATCTCCTCTGCAGATCTCACTGGGAAGCCTGTGTGCGTGGTCAGGGACGAGTTCTCTTTGGCACCCTTGACTCAGTCGGCGCTCTTATCCAGTTGTCTGATGGGGATGCCCACCATCTCAGTCCCCATTGGGGACCCACAGTCCAACCGGAACCCCCAGCTTCCTCCTTCTGGTGAGTTCTTTGGCCACACCCTTCTATCTGAAGGTTCATACTTCTCCCAAAGTGTGTGGCTGGGCAGGGGCCTGAGACGGAGAATGGGCCTTCCTTTCTGTGTTGTTCCCCAGGCCCTAACCCCCCAAAAAGTGTACCTGCTTGGATTTGAGGGGTTTTGTTTTGTCTTGGTTTTGGTTTTTCAAGACAAGGTTTCTTTGTGTAGCTTTGGAGCCTGTCCTGGAACTCACCCTGTAGACCAGGCTAGCCTCGAACTCAGAGAGATCTGCCTGCCTCTGCCTCCGAGTACTGGGATTAAAGGCGTATGCCACCACTGCCCAGTTGAATTTGAGATATTTGAGTAGTAACAAAGAGCCAGGGTCAAACTGATTCTGGACACAGTCACAAGACTTGGAGCTAGAGATGAGAGTAACACTTGTAATATTTAGTGACTTGTGTGCTCAGGAGGCAGTTTTTCAGGGCCTCCGGCTGCTTTGTTGGAGGGACTTTGGAGGTCAAGCCCTACTTTTCTGCTGCTAAGGTATGGGAGGGTTAGGAGGGCAGGATTGTGGTAGAAATCCTGTCGAACAGGGTGACAGCTAGCGCAGGGCAGAGAAGTTGGAGGGCTGGCTGTGGGATACTATACCTGTCTAGAGAGCAGTTCAACGTCTTAACAACAGGAATGACATCTTTTCCGAATCTCAGTGTTGGCTCCAGGCATCTAAAAGGGAAGAGAAGCCAGATCAAACTGCTTGTGTTTAGACACAGTAGCCTAATGCCCTCCAGCATCCCCCAGAGGGGACTCAGAAAGACTGTCAACATTAGTGACCCTTATTCCACTGCTGTTTCTAAGGCTTCCCCCTCCGGGGCAGAAAGGCTTGTAAAGTGGAGGGGGCACTTCTGCCTAGAGTCTTTCCCCTCCGTCCCAGTCCTGATGACACGGGGAGGGCAAACAGGGTCCCCCAAGATCTTGCCCTGTCCTCTCAGACCTCTGGAAGAAAAATCTAAAGGACCTAGCGTCCCGAGTGGCTGTCTTTACTAAGGAAACCGAGTCAAGGATCATCGAGGCTGGTGCTGAACAAAAGAGCGAGCCTGGAAAGAAAGCCTTGGTGAGTCCCTCCAAAGCTCTGCCACTGGCATGAGAGGGGGTGCTCCTAAGGGGGGATGGTGACAGCTGGGGTCACAGAAGCACAAAATCCCACCTAGCAGAAGAAATCCAAGAAGGGTCCCCAGAAGCACCCTCTAGGGTCATCCATAGTCGCCTATGGGGAAGACTTCTGAGCAGAGACCCTTGGCCCACCTTTAGGGAACAGAGCCGGAGCACAGGGTAGAAGTGGGTAGTGATGGACAGCTGAGAGGAGAACTTTGGGTGTGGGAGGAAGAATTTCTTCCGAACTTCCCCACACAGGTTAGCATCCAAGCTCCTCCGGTGTGGAGAACAGTTGGAGGTTTTCAGACAGAATGGGGATGACTTCACAGGTGCCCTTCAGGGACAAAGTGGTAAAGGCAGGCGGTCTTGGGACAGACCTTTGTAATTGGGTGTGATTTGGGGTAGTCCACGTGTAGAGGGGGAGCATGGCTGCTTGTTCCTGCTTGCAACTGACACACTGAGGTGCTCAGGATAATGCAGCCAAGTGTGCAGGTCTGGTTTTCTTTAAAACGTGGAGAAAACAGCTGTGGAGATCACTTCTCTGATCTCAGCATTAGGGAGACAGAGGCATGACTGCACATTTATGGCGTGGCCTGTTCTGCACAGCAAGTTCCAGGCCTGTCGGGGCTGCTCACTAAGGGCTTGTCTCAAACCAAATAAAAGCAAAGAAAAACAATGGGGGAGGGGGTGTTTACATGCTTTAGCTGGAATTACACTGGCAGGAGGCTCTAAGCCTGCCCTGTATCCAGAATTTCCCAGGGCAGAGAAAGGATGTCAAGGGCTAGGAAGGCAGCTCATTCAGAAAGAACTTGCCAAAAAAAGAAAGAAAGAAAAGCACTTACCTTATGAGCATGGTGGAGCATGCAATCTATTCCTCCCAATCCCTCCGGAGGCAGAGGTTCTGGGATGGGGAGCTTTGTGAGTTTGAGACCAACCTGGTCTACACAGCGAGTTTTAACACAACCAGGTCTATGTAGAGAGACAATCGTTCAAAAACAAAAAGCACTTGCCTTCTAAGCCTGAAGACCTGAGTTCAATCCTCAAAACCCATGTTTAAAAAGCCTGAAGGTGGGGGCAGGGGGTTGGCTGGAGGAATGGCTCTCCAGCCAGTTAAGAGTGCTGTTTGCGGGCAGGCAGTGGTGGCGCACACCTTTAATCCCAGCACTTGGGAGGCAGAGGCAGGCAGGTCTCTGTGAGTTCGAGGCCAGCCTGGTCTACATGAGCGAGAGACTCCAAAGCTACAGAGAAACCCTGTCTCAAAAAAAAAAAAGAAAGAAAGAAAGAAAGAGAAAAAAAAGAAAAAAAGAGTGCTATTTGCTATTATTGAGGATCAAGATTCAATCCCTAGAATCTATGGGGTAGCTCACAACCATTTGTAATTCCAGTTCCAAGGGATCAACAGAGGTCACTACACACATGCGGTGCATTCCAGACATGCAAACAAACACCCACACACATAAAATTAATCTTTTTTTTTTAAAAAAAAAAAAAACCTGGCATAGCAATGCATGCTTGTCATCTTTACTCTAGAGAGGCAGAGATAAGCGATTTCCAGGCCAGTGAAGGACCTTGTGTCAGGGCGGGGGAGGGGAGGGACGAGGAATGGCATTTGAGGTTGGCCTCTGACCTCTCTGCACACGCATACACACTTGAGCGAACATGTGTACCTGTATATACACGAAAATGTAAACACGCAGGTAGACAGACATGCACACAGGTAGACACACATGCACACAGGTAGACACACATGCACACAGGTAGACACACATGCACACAGGTAGACACACATGCACACGCATACACCGCAGGGAGGGAGGGGGCAGAGAATAAAGGGCATTAAGCTGTGAGTGTGAGGAACAGACCTCAGATATAGGAGCAGCTGAGCTAGGAATCAGGGTTGACACAGGGGTCTTGGTTTGGGATACTATTCCCACACCTCCGATGTTTGAAAGAGGACTGGCCTCTGGGGGAGAACAAAGACTCCTGGGGCTATCGTCATTCAACCCTGGGATGCTGGGTTAGGATGCAGAAGGAGCCAGGGAGGACCTGGGACAGGTTGGAGATGGCTTGATAGTATCCTAGGCCTGGCTTCTTCTTCATCCCCCCCCCGCCCCCGCCTTCTCCCACTTTCATGGGCTCCTAGAGTCTCTTGTCACTTTCTTTCTAGCCAAAGGAAGAGCCTCCTGTGAGGGAGCAGGGGGCAAAGTACTCAGCCAAGACTGGTAGGCTTATCCCGGCTTACAGCCAAGTTCTCAGCAGCCGCAACCGCCAGGGCCAGCGGGGCCAGCCTTCTGCCAGAGACAGAGGAGTCCAAACCTCCGTTCTGGAGGACCAGGAGCTGCTGGTAAGCCCCACTCTGGAGGCAGGGACTGCAGTGGTCTCAGCCTCCAGGATCCCAGGTCTTCCAGCCAGCACCCTCCTGGCCTGCCTTAGGGTGGCTTCTCCAGAGAGAGTGCCCCCTAAGACTGTAAGACCAGAAAGACCATACCCCAGGAGTCAGCGTTCTGGGCTCTGAGCTCCTCTGCTTCTAGACAGCCTGTTGTCATCCTGACCCTCTCTGTGTAAGTCCTCTCTCGTGGGTCACTGGTCAAACTGGGCGCATGGCTATGTTAGCACTGCATTATCACGGAAGTGGCTCTCCAGGGCCAGCATCCACTGCTCTTGAGGAAGCGGCACAAGGACTGAGAACCTAGGAGGGAAGGGCCTGCCCAGAGCATTCTCAATCCACAGCCTGCAAGGCTAGCCTGGACTCGGCTTCCTGTGGTCTCTTCCTCATGGAGGCTGGAAAGGAGCCCCCCACTGTGTGGCAGTGGACAAGGGCATCGGTGATCCCTGGGAGCATACATGTATGTCCCCCAGAGCCAAAAGTGTCACCACCTCTCACTGAATGGTAGTGCTTTTAGGCTCAGCAACATGGATAAACCAGACAGATCTCAGGATCGCCATTCAACCCACAAAGAGGTTTAGGCTCTTTTGGGTGGTGATCTGTGGCCAGGTCTCCCGGTGGATGGCCAGCATAGCCAGGCTAGAATTGGTACTTTCTCCACCATAGGGCAGCCACACCGCACCTGGAGTTAGGTTCTCAGGTCCCATGGGGAGGGGGCCCAGGGCAGGTAAGGAGGATGGGAAGAATGGGGAAGGGCCAAAGGGCAGTTCAGGGTGGGTGCTGGGAGAATGGGTGGGGGAGGATAGGGTGGGCATCTAGCAGGTACAGGCCTGAGGGAGAAGCCCAACCCAGTTCCTACTCCACCAAGGATAAGGTGGGCCTGCCAGGGTCTGATAGATCCCTCCAGGTCCTTGGGAAGGCTCTCTGGAAAGGGCTAAGGGAACCCTACTTTCCTAGGACACCTCCCACGGCGGGTCCCCCACCTCCAGTCCTCTATAGATACAGCTGCCACCTGCAACTTGTCCTAGGAGGTCCCCAGAGCACATCCCGGACACAGCTGGACCATATACTGCCGCTACTTGCCTGGAGGAGACAGGGGAAGCCACTGGCTGAGGAGGCAGCTAGGAGTCGAGAGTCCCAGCTGCTTCACTGGATGGAGCCCCTCACTAGGCACCTGGCAGAAACAGCCCTCTCTGGCCAGCAGGCCGCCTACAGCGAGTCCCCCACCTCCCGGAAAACATATCCAGATTCTTGGCGTTCCCGGGTGGGGAGGCCCTTGGGGTGCCCCAAACCACCACCCAAAAGATCCAAGCATGCAAGACTCGGTGCGTCTCTGAGGAGGTGACTGGCCAGCACTGATTTTGCTGTCCCAGTGAGGGCCCATAGGTTCCAACCAGCCCAGTGGAGACAATGGGGCTGAGAGGTCTAACCTATCCCGTATCTGAGGCTTGATTCTGTTCTCAAGTCCCCGGTGACGCCTTCCTTTCTCAAGGCTTCACATTCTTGACCTGCCCAGCAGAGAGCTTAGGGACAATTCTGAGAAAAAGTCCCCTTCATCAAAGTGCTAGGTCTCATGGAGGAACCTTTAGGAGGAAGCACTTTAGCCAAGCATGTGGCCTGGGGACCCCATGTCATAGGGAGGAGGCTGCTGTTCCCTGAACCCATATTTGCCTGCACTTCTGGCTGGAGTGTGGCAGGGGCTCCCACTGACCACGGTCTGTCCTCTCTCACATAGATCTTGGAGCTTCTTTGTCAGATTCTCCAGACGGATTCTCTAAGTGCCATCCAGTTCTGGCTGCTCTACGCACCACCAAAGGGTGAGGACGCCATAGTGCGGCCCCCTCTCTATGTGGAGGGGGGCTGCCCAGACCTTGCCCTTGTTCCTGATCCTGCAGGACAGATGTCCCCTCTTTAGTACTGACCTCAGGCATAGGGGTCTGGGAGGGGAAAACAGCTAAAGATTGTTCCCAGCAGACCCAGCCCCTCATGGTCACTGTAGGAAACATACGCACACATGTGCAAATACCAGAACACACAGGCTTGTGCAGAGAGTCCACAGATACACATCTGCTTTGGAACAGTGAGGAGAAGGGGTGGGGTGAATCCCCAGGGAACGAGTTTATAAGCTCACTGGAGGAAGGGATGGGAAAAAGGAGGAGGTGGAGGGGCCGGGGAGGGGGATGTAAATCCCAGATTTCCAAATGTAATCCAGGAGTAGGGAGGAAAGGAGGTGGGAGGGGTGGAAGGGGCCAAGCCCAAAGTGCATATGGCTCTCACGGTAAGAGAGGGCGATGTAGGGCTGAGAGCTCAGCACACAGCTACAAGCACTGTGGGGTCCTTCCTTGGGGGTGGGGGGCCTATGAGGAGATGCAGGATGATTAGAGGAAGATGTCCTTCACCAGGGCTGGGACAAAGCTGGTTGAGATAGGAAAGGGGCTGAGGACACTGCCCTGTGCTGTTTATAGAAAAAGACTTGGTGCTGGGACTTCTGCAGACAGGGGTGGCTCAGCTCATCTCCCAGCCCCTCCCAGCCCTCCCAGCGGAGAAGCTCTTGAACCAACTCCAAGAGCTTCAAGAACCTCCTCAAGAGATACAACAAACAACCTACAGGTGGGCTCCGGGCTCCTCATCTGCCCTTCTGTTTTCAGAACCACACCCTTGCGGTCAGCATCCGCCTACCCTGGCTTTGTGACCCCACCTGTAATCCCAGCACCATAGCAAGGGGAAAGGAAGGCAGGATCCTTGAAGGAGGCTGGGATAGATATGTCAGTGTGCTTCGGATGCAGTAGAGAGATCCTGCCTCAAGGAGTAGAGAGGAGAGCATCCATGTGGTTACAGGACGTCTGGTCCGCACACGCTAGCACAGCAAGTGCCTTATGCGCTTAGTCATCTTCCCAGCCGGACACTGAGGACTGCAAAGTTGGGAGGCTGGAAAAAGATCATCTCAGGAGGTGGGAGGTGCCCAGGGCGTGGTGGTCAAGAATGAACAGACTGCAGGGACTAAATTTTGGGGTGCTGAGGCATGGTAAGAAAGTGACTTAGATTTGGAGGAGGCATATTTTGGTGGGTGGTTGTTTGATGGGTCAGGCTGGCCTCGAACCTGCTTTGTACCTGAAGATGACCTTGAACTCAACCCTCCTGCCTCTGCCTCCTGAGTGCTGGGATTACAGGTGTGTACCACCACATCCTGTTTAAACAGCGCTAGGCATGGAACCCAGAGCTTCCCACACGTTAAGCAAGCATTCTACCACCTGAGCTACAACCCCAGCCCTGGGGCAAAGGTTCTTGCTCAGGTCCTAGAGTTGGTTTTCTTTTTCTGCTTGAGAGAAGAAAGGATGCTCAGGGGCTGGGGGTCATCGGTAGACAGTTGTACAATCCCTGGGTTCAATTCCTACTACTGCAACACAGTAAACATGCCGGCGGAAGAAGAGGACGGCAGGGAAGGCCAACTCAGAGGAGAGACCCCAAATCGGCCTCTTCACCTCTCTCTCAAGCCTCCTACCAGAGGTGTGGGGGGAATGACGTGGCTGTGTGAAGGGTAACGATAGCTAACAGATCACACGAGGTAGAAGAACATTAATCACTTGTCCAGAACTAGCTTTACAGGCAAGAGGCTGGGGGATAGACCATAGCCCTGGCTATCCCAGACAAGAGGACCTTGGTTGCCCACGGCTACAGCAGACACACAATCACAGCTATCTGCTTCCTGCTTTGGAGGTACAAGAGGCTATGTGGGTCCAGCTGTGGGCAGTCCCGCACCAGCTCTTCAGGAGGGGTGTCTTGCCTCTTCTGCGAGCTGGTGGCTAACCACACCTCTGCCACCTCTTAACTCCTAACCAACCTACCGTCTGTAGACTCGGTGTCCTGAGCCTGTCATTTGTATTTGGTTATAGTCCATCCCTGAAGAAGACAAAGACACCACCTCTATCCAAGTCAGAGAAACCGGGTAAGAGCCCTCAAAGGGAGCTGTTGATTCTAGAGGCATACTGAGGTCAGCTCTGGCTGGATTCCTGCCCAAGGAAGTGGGGTTATTTCTTCAATGCAGCAAACATTTATTGCACGCTTACTGTGTGTCAGGTTCTGGCGAGTCAAGAGGAAAGAATTGGGACAAGTTCCTATGTGACTGGGGCTTACATCTTAGAGAGGAAGTATACAAAGGGCAGAACCCCCAGGAGGACAGCAGGTTAACTGGGGTGGGGGGGACTCCCTATCCTAAGCCACAGAAGTGTCCAGGGAGGGCCTTGGAGTAGAGCTCCCCCTGTCTGGAATACTGATGGATGAATAAGCTGGTCAGGGTATCCGGGCCTTCTGGGTGGGGGACAGCAGTATGAGGTAAGACAAGACCGGGCCAGTCTTCTGAAGAGTGTAGGACACTCTGGAGGGAGTAGGATGTAGTATGTCCCTGTGGTCACTGTGCAAGGCATGGATAGGGGTGGTGGTGGCAAGAAGGGACAAGGGAGCCCAGAGAGGAGGCCCTTGGAGAAGACATAGTATCTTAGACCAGACAGTGTGGGGGGAGCTGGAGGGGAGAGAATGCCTTTCCACAGTGGACATGATTCTCCTTTGTCAGTGTGTAGCATCCCAAGGGCCCAGAAGAGTGTCTGGCATGCAATAGGTGCTTAACTTGTGTTTGGTATCCAAATTTTAAAAAAGGACTGGAAAATGGTAGGGCTCACAGAAGTGAGCTAGCTTGTCCCAGGTCCCCCACTGAACTGAAGGCAAAGCTGGCTTTGACATTGGCCTACCTCCCTGTCAGCTCTCTCATCTCTTACCACCGCCTCTCCCCTCCTCCAGAGTTCATAGGCAAAGCCCAAGTCCTCCGCGTGCATCCCAGCGAGGACTCAGAGGAGAAAACGACCAAGTCAAAGGCCGAGAGCTGAGGAGCACAGCCCAGAGCACGGAGACTTCTGTCTAGCTCAAAGGCAGCTTCTAAGCTTGGGGATGGGGGCTCCCGTCACGCTATGTCAACACCAGCCCCCGGTCTCCAATCACACTCTACTAAATAAAATGCTGCCTTCCCTGGACGACGGCAGTTCTACCCTGCCACAAGAGTGTCTGTGTTTAGACGGCTTACTCTAGAAGAGTAGAGCTCCCTGCCACGGAGAAAGCCCGGGGTACCACTCACAGTTAGCGACGATCTTCCCATCAGTTAATGCAATCAAGTTAATCTCCCACAGGCAAGCTCAGAGGCCTGTCCTGTAGGTGATTCTAGATCAGAGATTCTCAACCTGTGGTTCACAACCCCTCTGGGGGGGGGCACCTATCGGATATGTACATTATGATTCATGACAGTAGCAAAATTACAGTTATGAAATAGCAGCAAAAATAAAAATAATTATATGGTTGGGGGGGTTTACCACAACGTGAGGAAGGGTATTAAGGGGTCACTCACAGGCAGCAGGAAGGTTGAGAACCGCTGATCTGGAGCCTGTCAGACTGACGACTAACGTAAGCCTTCAGTCACCATGCCTGGCTCCAGCTGTCAGTATTAAAGGGCCCCACTTTTAAAGCCCTTGGTCATCCTGTTGGTTTATTTGTTTTCCCCCAGTGGCAGTATAAGAGGCAGCTGTGCCCATGGCTGCCTCTCTGGCTTTATCTGCGACGCGCATCCTGACCAGCAAGTAGAGCCCAGAGGCAGCTGTTTTTAAACGGTGGAGAGGCTTGAACGCTGTCCTGATTGGTTAATGCCATTCTGCTGGTCTGAGCATGTGCAAGCAAGGGTGCAGGCAAGGGTGCTCAGCCCCACGTGGCTAAGCCAGGTATGGACTAGTATACCTCCAAACTGCAGGACCACCTGTGCCTCCAGGTGGCTTCCTACATTTATCGTCATTCTGCCACCAGTTGCTTTCACATTTACCCCCATCCACATTTGGAAAACGTGCTCAAATATAACAGGCAGGTTAGTCTCCCAGGAGGTGTGGTGGTTTGAATAAGAATGGCCACCATAGGCTCATATATTTAGTTGCCCAGGGAGCAGCACTATTTGAAGGGATTAGTAGGTGTGGCCTTGTTGGAGGAAGTGTGGCACTGGGGGTGGGCTTTGAAGTTTCAAAAGCCGTGCCAGGTCCAGTCTCTCTCTCTCCCTCTCCCTCTCCTTCCCCCTCCCTCTCCCTCTCCCTCTCCCTCTTCCTCTCCGTCTCTCTCTCTCTCTTCCTCCCCCCACCCCCCGCCTGTGGATCCAGACGTCGAACTCTCAGCTACCTCTCCAGCACTATGTCTGTCTGCTGTGACAATGGACTAAACCTCTGAAACTGTAACCAGCCCAGTTAAATGCTTTCTTTTATAAGAGTTGCTGTGGTCATGGTGTCTCTTCACCGCAACAGAACACTGACAAAGACAGAAGGGCAGTGGTTCCTCCATTGTGGGACCATCATCCATCTTTGAGGCTGTTCCATCTTGCAGAAGTGAAACTCTGCACCTAAAGACTTTGTCTTGTCTGGTTGAACTAGTACTGCCAATATATCATGGATTAGGTAATTCATAGACTACTGAAGTCCATTTCAAGCTCTGGAGATTGAAAAGCCCAAGGTCAAGGCTTGGGTAGGTTTGGGGCCTGGTGAGGACCTGTCACTCCCAGACAGTACCTTCTGTATGCCATGTATGGCAGAATGGAAAGACAGACTCCCATGGGCCCTTTTATAAGGATCCCTATTCACTTCCTATTCATGGAGACAGAACCCTCACGAGCCAATGCTTTCCAAAGGCCTACATTTCAAATTGAGACAGGGGCTCACCAACATTTTCAAACAGAGGCAGGGGCTCACCATTTATCCCAGACAGGCTTTGAACTCCAAATCCTCTTGCTTCAGTCTCTCAAGTGCTGGGGCTACAAACTGTGAGTCACCATACCTGGTCAAGTACCAATTTCTTAATGCTACCAGCCACCTTGGGGATAGTACCTAATATTATCACCTTTCAACATATGAATTTGGGGGGGCAGTGGGGGGAGACAAACATTCAAACCATAGCGCTCACAAAACAGTAAGCCCCCACGCCCCTCTTCTTGACTATTGGAAACCACCCTGTAGTTTTGTGTCTGAGACTGGAATAGTTCCCAGGCCTCCGCTAGTACAATCCTCTTTGTCTTTCTGTGTCAGGTTTATTTTGCTTGGCATGACATCTTCAAGAGTCAAACAAGTTGTGACATGTGTCACAGTCACCTGCCACCTGTTTTTACTGGGGTAGCAGTCAAGCTCTGCCGCCCGGGACCACACAGCGTCTTCAAGGTCTGAGCCCCATGGAGGATCTGTTCATAGTGCAGGGACATAAATACCATCACCCGTCTTCACTAACAGGTGAACTAACCAAGTATCCACACAGTAAAAGAATCCCAGACGACACTTGCTTCAATAATAAATAACCCCAGTTGGCGTGAAAACCCTGACACTATGGTGGGCCTGTCTTTAATTTCTCAAGGTGTATTCCGGGGGGTGGGGAGAGCTGCCACTGTAGAGTCTCATGGTTTCAGTCCATGGTCAATGGCTACCCTGCTCTTGCTCATTGCAAGGCGGATGCTCATTGCAGCCAAGCAGCAGAGAGAACAGAATGGAGGCTGGGACAAGATGGAGCCTTCAAGGACATGCCCCCTCCATTAGGCGCCTCCCTCCAGCTAGTCCTCAACCCCAAAAGTTCCCATTGCCTCCCAACAACTGGAGTCCATCAATGGGTTAATCTTGAGGTAGGAGCCTCTTGCAATTCAATCACTTGGAGTTGAATGGGTTTAGCAATTTGCAGGTTCGGGGAAGGGCGACTACCTGGCATGTCCGCTCTCCTCTTCCAAGGTTTGCAGAAAGCCCAGCTCTGTCCAACTAGAGCCTAGTCCTTTGGCACAGGACTGATTAATGGGGGAAGATAAGGACTGGGCCAAGCACAAGCTACCTTGGGAAGATTTTGTGCTGAGCGTTGCAGGATGTGGTCTGTCATTGTCATCACCACTCCAGGGAGACAAGTGCTGGACACATCCCACTTTATGTCCCTGATTCTCTCACATTCGTTCCCAGACGGGAAGTGTTAAAATACCAAGTGTTGCTGGGTTGTTGTGGTGCACGCCTTTAATCCCAGCAGAGGTGAGTAGATCTCTGTGTTCAAGGCCAGCCTAACCTAACGGGGCAAATTCCAGGATGGCCATGGCTACCCGCAGAAATCCTGTCTTAAAAAACAAACAAAAACCAAAGACAAGTGCTAACAAGTGTTAACTTTTACGCTTACCCTCGTCACCATAAGAGCACAGCTCAGAAGCATCAAGAATGTTCTATCTGTTGTGGAATCTTCCTCATCCTCTCCCAGAGCAGCAAAACTGAACCTCTACAGCCATTAAACACGAACTCTCCTCCCTCCTCCAAGCCACTCCCAGCCCTGGAGTTTTCTTTCCGAAGTTTGTTTTCTTTCCGACTGATTGGCTGCATCTTTGGAGCACCGTTTCCTGACCGGCTTATTCCACCTAACAACGCTTTCAAGGTTCATCTATGCAGCATTTATGTCAGGATTTCCTACCTTTTGAAGGCTAAATAATATTCCACCACGTGGACAGATCACATATTTTGTTTGGGTCGGTGTTGGGGTGTGTGTGCGTGCGTGCGTTACACTTGCTAGGAAACTGCTCTACTGTTGTGGAATATTATTTTAACTAGGCAAAGATGTGTTACATTTGTTTATGCTGCAGAGTATTTAACTGTGTAAAGGTGTGTTACATTTTTAATGCTGCACTTGTTTAATGATATAAAGATGTGTTGCATCTGGATCACACTGCCTGCCTGAGGCACCTGATTATTCTAATTAAAAGCTCAACGGCCATAGTTAGGCAGAAGAAGGATAGGCAAGGCTGGCTGGCAGAGAGAATAAATAGGAGGAGAAATTTGGGCTCGGGAGAAGAAGAAAATGAGGGAAAAGAAAGAGACATGCCTAGGGCTAGAAGTCAGGCAGCTGCCAGACAGACAGATAGGAGAAGCAGTGAAAGTAAGTTATACAGAAGGAAAGAAAAGCAAACCCAAGGCAAAAGGTAGATAAAGAGAAACAGGCTATTTTAAGTTAAAAGAGCTTTCCAGAAATGAGGCTAAGCTAGACTGATTATTCAAAACTAATAAGTCTCTGTGCCATGACTTGGGAGCTGGTTGGTGGCTCCAAAGAAAAAGCCTGGAACACTCTCCCACTAAGTTACATTCCCTGTCCTGCCCCTGGACCATATTGTTGATGTATTTATTCTTCTGATATGTTAGGCGGGTCCCACTTTTGCCTGCTGCATATACTAATTCTCTGGGGAGAAGCATCACAAGGATAGCAATAGAACTCAGAATTAACTTAAAGGTAAAATTAGAATATTTATCAGAGTCCTGCCCTCAGTTCCTGATGAACCCTTCATTCCTAAATATGAACCATGCCCACCTCCCCACCGTGAATTTTGCTACAACTGCTGATCTCCTGTTCTATTCCTATTATTTCTTTAAATGTTCCCATGCGCCCATTTTATTCCTAGATGTAATTCATTTCCAAGCAATAGTCTCTCCACAGCATGGTTTTGCTATATTGTTTATAAAAGTTTCTCCTGTACATGAAAATAAATTCCGGGGCTGCCAAGATAGCTCCGTGGGTAAGGGGACTTGATGCTAACTAATGACCTGAGTCATCAGATTTCCCAGGGCCTGTGTGGTAGAAGGAGAAACAGACTCCTTGCAAGTTCTCTGACTCCCACAACTGTGTCATAGCACGTGTCCCCAAATCTCTCTCTCTCTCTCTTCCCTCTCTCTCCTCTCTCTCTCCCTCTCTCTCTCTCTCTCTCTCTCTCTCTCTCTCACACACACACACACACTGAATAAAATTAATAGAAGCTTTAAAAAATAAAATGAATTGGGTAGGGAGGGGGAGAGGATCTAGAGGGACTTAGGGGAGGGGAAGAATGAAATAGAAAAAAAGTAATGTAAATGAAAAGGCCCCACTTACTCTAAATAAAACAAATCGTTCCTCTGCATCACCCAGTTCATCTATTCGGCTACCAGAGCATTCTGGCATTCTGATCACACCTTGGAGCGTGCTGATGGGGAGAGATGGTGAAATAGTGCTACAGTGAAAACAGTTCTGTGGACACACACAGGGATGTTCCAGGACCAGGTTCTCCCACCCAGTCTGCTTGCTCAACAATCAGGCCCCTCCCCCGTTCCACTTCAATAGATGAGAAAGGGACAGAGAAACATTTTCATCAGTGACAGGGAAGTCTGCCGCCGCACAGTCTGGCTCCAAACGCAGCCCATACATGGAGCATGGCCTTGAACTCTTGATCTTTCTGTTTCCACTTCCGGCCTGCTGGGACTACAGGTATGCCTCACCAAGCCTGGTTTCATCTTCAATTCTTAAATATTTAATCTACGCAGAACTTTTAGGAGGCAGAGACTCCTGTTAAAATTAGATAAGGCGCTTAAAGAAACAATGTGTGGGCTTGGGAGACTGCTGAATGACCTGGGTTTGGATACTCAGAACCCACAGAAAAGTGAGGCACATCTGTGTACATCTGTATCCCCGGCACTTCTATGTCGAGATGGGCGAGAGAGACAGGACATTATTTGGAAACCCACAGGTCAGTTCTCCTGGTACACAACGCGATAGATAGCAAGAGACCCTGTCTCAAACAAGGCGAAAGGCTAGGACTGACACCTGAGGTTGTCTTATGACCCCCACACACGTGCATAATAATAGCAGTGATCTTCCCATGAGGACTCAAAGACATAATCTACAGAAAGTATTACACAGGATGCCGCTTTTAACAGGCATTAGTGGCCCATGCTTTTAATCAGCACATTGATCAATTACTTGTTTTGAACATATACCACCAGACCTGAGTCTGCTCTGAACGCTACAGGAGCACCCAGTTCTTGTTCTTGGCAAAAGCTCTCAGGCAGTACACCCTTGTTTTCATGGTTTGCCTGGAGTTCAAGAGCCCTACTCAGCCCTCCCACAGGCCCTGGCTGCCCGCTCTGGAGTACTCAGCCCTCTGACACCCCAAGCTCAATGATCCTGCGCCAGCAGCCTCCAGGCTGGGAGAAGTTCCCAGGTTCTTTCCATGTCTCTTGGCTGCACCATTGCCCAGTGAGTCTTTAGCTCAGTTGCCTCTTTTGTGGTAGCAAAGCCCTCTGGAAGGGGACGCTATGCCCATAGTCACACATTGAGTAGGAAGCTCAATGACACCCCTGTTAGGCCTTTATGCATGGGCCCACTTTTCAGCTATGCTGTTTTCAAGGCGGTCAAGATAAATAAGTGTGTTCCCCCCCTCATCTCCCCACCTCCCCACCCACTCCATCACTTTCTGATGTACGGTCTCATGCATCCCTGGCTGGTCTCGAACTATATAGCCCCACACTTTAAGATTTGAATCTTCCTGATTCCACTTGCCCAAGTGGTGGGATTACAGGCACACACTACCACATCTTGATGACGTAATGATGGAGAGGGAACACAGGACTTCCTGCAGGCAAGATGGATTAGTTGGCTTCTCTGTTGCTCTTATAAAACACTCACCAAAAGCAAACTTGGGGCTGAAAGGGTTTATTTGGCTTACATGCCCTGATCACGGTCATCTGAGGAAGTCAGAGGCAGGAACCATGAAGGAAAGTAATTTTTCTGGACTATTCAGCTGGCTTTCTTACACCATCCAGAACCACCTGGCCAGGAGTGGAACTGTCCACATTTGGCTGGGCCCTCTCTTATCATTAATCAAGAAATTGACCACACAGACATGCCCACAGGCCAATCTGTTGGAGACCGTTCCTCAACCCAGATTCCTTTTGCCCAGAGATGTCTAGGTTTGTGTCAAGTTGATAGAAACTTGCCAAAGCGCTAGGGAAGAGCATCCAAGCCATACCCCAGCCCATTCCCTGTTCATATGTGTAGACGGGCTGAGAGACCCCAGGAATGCTAGACCTGAGAACTCCTTAGCGAGGCCTCAAGTCCAGCCTGGACTCTGTGACCCCCAAGGATATGTGGCAGCCCCAGGTTCCTTGGGCTGATTTCTGGGCCCCTCTTCCTTGCTTGGGGCACTGAAACCTAAATGCCGATTGAGCCAAGGTTTCTCATGTTGTACAACATTTAGACAGACCCACTGGCCACTGCCCAGAGCAATTCAGGGTGAAAGTGCAGAGACGGCCTGGTAATGTTGGCTGTGAACACAAGCTGGGACACAGCAGGGTGTGCCCTACATGTTCTGACCTGTTCAACAAGCCACACCACCACCACCGTCAGTGCTGGGGCCTCTAGGGCCATCTCCCTAGGCCCGTCCCCAAGGTGTGCACTTCCAGGCCCACCTGGCTGTCTACAGAGAGGTAGCTCCCAGAAGCAGGCATCCTGTCAAGCAGCAGAGATGGAGCTTGGCTGTGAAGCCTGCACTGTCTGCCCAGGCATGGAAAACCTTCCGATTTGGAAGAAAAAAGGCAGGTGCTCTAGGTTGGGGGCGGCGGGTGTCTGTATAGTCTTGGCCAGGGTCCCACAAATGTCAGGGAAGAGCCAGTGTAGTGATACATTATTCATGTCTGACATAGACACAAAGCAAGACATGGATTGATTCTTCCATCTTCCCCTTTCCCTATTTTAATTAATTAAGTAAGTAAGTACACAGTGTTCTGCCTGCATGCCAGATCTCATTATAGATGGTTGTGAGCCACCATGTGGTTGCTGGGAATTGAACTCAGGACCTCTAGAATTGGAGTCAGTGCTCTTAATCTCTTGCACCATCTCTCCAGTCCCCGTCCCCCTCTCTTGGCAGTGTTGGGGTTTAAACCCAGGGTCTCAGGCATGCCAGGCAAGCATTCAACAGGAAGGAGGTGAGGCATAGACTGGTTCTTTCTCCCCTCCCTGCCCCCGCCTCTGCAGTGTTGGGGACTTAGGGACTCTTGCATGCCAGTCAAGCACTCTGGCAACTGAACTGTATCCAACCCAGTGGACCGGTACTTTAAAATCACACAGTGAGTTTCACATCAGCCCTTCTTGCCCAATAAGATGCCCCACAACCTTTCCTCCTGCTTGGCACCCAGCTTCTGCTTGGCTCCTTCCAGGGAAGAACTGTTTCATCGCCACCTTCCAAGGAAACCACCCTTTGCAAGGTTGCAAAGCTCTGATCATTCAAATGCTTTTCTTGCCGTGGGCCCCAAAGATAACTCCCAGCCATCTCCATCCTTTGTGTGGAGGCTTGCCCGAGGCCAGTCAGCTCCTTGATGGTCCTTCCCTTGTTTGTTCCCACCTGCAATCATCTTACCACTGCTGGGCCCAGCCCTCAGAGCACTGGCTTCATTGTCCCCATCCTCTAGAACAGAAAAGAAACACGCACGCGCGCACACGTATACACACAGAGCGCCACTTCTGAAGTCCAAAACAAAACACTGAGGTCAGTGTTAATAAATAGGTTATATTTCAAAAAATCAGACTCTCCATGCTGGGGACTGACTCAGAGTAGCTCCAGCCGCCTGCAAAGGGGACAGCAGTAATGGGGATAGCACACAGAGTCCCTAGCACCCCTGCTCCCCATTGCTTGCAGGCCAGGGGCCTAAGGCTTGCCTTCCTCCATCTGAGGAAGGTGGACGGATAAGCACCTCTGCCACTGACCCTGAAAGTGAGGATCTAGGCCATTTCCTGAGAACCAGAGGGCCGTGGAGGATGAGTTTGACTCCCTGCATCCTCTCTACCCTAATCCAGGAGCAGCAGCGGGCATCCTGCCCAGGCCATCCACAGGGGCCAGGTAAGTGGACTCTAGTCCTTGGCCTTGTAACCCCCACCTGCCTGACCTTCTGAGAATCACACACTCTGTCCCAGCCAGAACCAGAAGGGAAGACCCCCGCCCCCCAACTCCAGCAGGCTTTCAGCAGAGTGACGACTGAGGGGTACAGTCTGGGAAGTGACATCTCTCTAGTACCTAGTGGTCACCTTTCTGCTGGACCTCCTTCAGGCCTTAATGATGACTGAAGCTGTTCTTCCTGGTCAAACCAGGAGTCAAGCCCCAGCTTAGAAACTCCTGGATGTTGAAGTTATATATCCAGGCCTCCTTCTCTGGTGGCTTGGATGCAAAATTGGAAGGTCAGAGCCGGGCGGTGGTAGTGCACACCTTTAATCCCAGTACTCCGGAGGCAGAGGCAGGCGAATCTCTGTGAGTTCGAGGCCAGCCTGGTCTACAGGGCGAGTTCCAGGACAGCCAGGGCTACACAGAGAAACCCTGTCTCAAAAAATAATAATAATAAAAATAAAAAAACAAAAAAACAAAGCAGAACAAAATGTTGGGAGGTCAGTCTACAGCCTGGGGTCACCAGCGGTGACATCTACAAGGACAAAGTGAGCCACAAAAGTGACTCCACAGCCACAAAGGTGAACTGATGTCTGTCTGGGAGTTATTAGCGGCTCTCAGCTGAGAAGAGCCAGGCCTGAGAAGAACTCCTCTCCCCTGGCCGACCCTGTCTCAGGGAAACATCACTACTGCTTCCATGCCAGCCTTTCCCTAGTCTGCCTTTGAGTAGCCCCACCTCCTCCAGTCCCCTTCGGCCTTGGCCTTTGGGGAGAGTGGGACTGTGCGGGTCTCCTTGGTAGTCAGAAGTCATGGGCAAGCAAGCATCTCTGTCAGGCCTGCTTCCCCCTCCCATCCCTGCCCCCTCCCAGTGGCTGTGGGAAGGGGCTTTACTGAGCCTGGAGAAACAGATCTTAGGAGCCATTTGAAAGCGGAGCCCAAGTCCTGTTGGCTGAGGTATTTCTGGTTAGGGCAATCCCTGATCTCTCTCTTCCCCTAACCCTGTCAGGGGGTCAAGAGCGTCACAGCCCCAAACAGAACAAGACAACAAATAATTTAAAAAGGAGACCTGTGCTACTTCCTGTCCCCTGTGCTTGAGTCCTCTGAGTCAAGGTCACTGGACCACACGCAGAGTGTAAATGTGGCCAGAGGGACGGGTTCAAGTCACTGGGGAGGTAGCAGGAAGGCTGGTGCCTCCATGTCCTGGTTCCTCCCTGGATTGTCCTTGATCCTCAGAGGCTGTCACGGTGGTTTGGGTCCAGCCCGAAGGCGGTGGGGTGGCAGAAGAATTGCCCTCAAATGTTGCAGGACTTAGCATCTGGGGGGTGAAGGGGGGCTGAGTCCCTGAGGAGATCCTGTTCACCAGCCCTGGTAGCTGTGTGGGATGGCCTTGCTGATGGTCTTCCACTCTGGTTGGCCCCTTTGAAGACTCCACATCCTCCTGGGTGGCCTTGGGCTCTGGCAAGAGACTCCCAGGAGTGGAGAAGGCGGGTAGTGAGGTCACGTTGGCACTGGGGCCTGAGGTGCAAGACTCACAGCACAGCCGGTGGTAGCCAGGGATGGAGCAATAGCGGTCCAGTACTTTCATCCGGCAGAAGATGGGCCTGTCTCCCACACAGGGCTCCACTGCACATACACCAAGGCAGAGAGATGCCCATCAGGAGGGGACACTATGACTTGCTTTACCAGCAATCCCTCCTCCTCCTTCTGCCCTGGCTGGAATCTCTACATAACTCATTCCAAAGGGGTCATAGTTCCACCCAAGAGGACAGAACGCTTCCAAAGGGAAGAGAAGCTAAAGTGTCCTCGACTCCAGCATCAGCAGCACTGGGGCCTTGACCTCTGGAGTAGGGCAGCACTGTTTTAACAAATCCTCCAGCCACTTGTTGGGGTACGGGTGGAGCATTAATCCCTTACCACTGAATCCCAACCAAGAACACTGAGGCTGAAGTGTTCTAAACTGCTGCTGTGATTGGTTCAGGCACAGCTCTTTAGAGAAAATGTGATGGAGGGCAAGTGCTCGGGTGTGTACTAATTGGTGCTCAGGACTGCTGGGATCAGGAGCCGGCTCTGAAGCAGAGACAGTGGAAGCCGGTGGCCTCTAGATGGCGCCAAAGCTCCAGAGCCAGAATCAGACCCCCCAGCTTCTGCTTTGAGGGATTTGCCCAGCTTTTTGGGAGGTGGGGGAGAGCAGAGAAGTCAAAGGGTTGCACAAGGTCACACCCTTTAACTAGATTTGGGTTCTGCTCTTCCTACAACTCATCTTGCCAGACTCCAGGTGAAGGCCCTAGAGAGAGGACTCTGGTAACTTAGGAAGGGAGTGTAGCATCTCAGGGGCACGCCAAGTCTTTATTCACAGAGACATATCGGAAGGACCACAGGATGAGTTCATTGCTACCCCTGTGATGAGTTCACTGGAGTAGCAGAGGATGCTCACCCCATGTTTCATTCTCTCAGCTGCTCTGGAAAGGTAGTTCGTATCTAGGACGGCAGACCCCAGAAGTGAGGACGCAGACAGGATTCAGAATTCAGAACCCTGGGGCGTGCTTTACAGATATAAAACAGGACACCCTCACAACAGTGGGACAGTACTTTGTCACCAAGCATGGCAATGTCTCTGCAGCAGAAGCCTATGTGATTTCTTTTTAGCCCGGATCAGGTTTGGCCACCACAGGGATAACAGCAAACTTACAATTCAAGGTGAATGGGAATCACGGAAGAGGACAGAGAACAGAGCAGAACCTTCACGCTCTCTGAGGCCACCCAGACAAGCAAGGCATTAGGTTCCACTGTCACTAAACCCTGGGGTGCCTGAAAGGCTGGGGGAGGGGAGGGCCAGAGACGATGCTTACTTGTTGAAATCAGGTTCGTGGGAGTCAGGGGCTTGGATTGGGGTTCCTGGTGTCCCACTTTGGTCACAGGGTCCTGGATCTCGGCCTTCACTGTAGAGTTCTGGAGACCTCCTGTGAACAGAAATGGAGATGTACTACACACAACAGGTATGCATCCCTTGTCCAGAATGCTTGGGACCAGAAGCAGTCCAATTTTAACAATTTCTCCTGCAATATGGAATATTTGCCGAGTTAATAAGAACTCTTGGAGATGAGACCCGAATCTAAACATGAGTGCATCTGTTTCTTCTTTACTTCATTTCTTTATATTTTGTTGTGTGCATACAAGGGTGGGTATGTATCCCATAGCATGTGCAGAGGTCAGAGGACAATTTGGAGAAGTCAGTTCTCTGCTTGGGTCATCAGGTTTGGTAGCAAGTGCCTTTCTACACTGAGCCATCTTGCCTGCCCCATTTGCTTTTTACACATAAAGTGTGCAGGTAATTTTGTACGATGTTTTAAATGCTTCGGGGAATGGGGTGAGGTTTGTGTATCAAAGTGGAAGGGCCTGGGAAGGTCTATTTTTCCTCCTCAAACATGCTGGCTAACTGGGTATTATAGTTTGATCACAACGTATCCTATGTAGACAGGAAGGCAATCTTCCATCTTTGGCAGCATCCCAGGGCTCCAAAAGTCCTGGATCAAGAAGCGCTTTGGATTGGGATGCTTAACCTGTCTTTGGACTTTCAAAGGGCCAGGATACTTGCTGTTGCAGGGTCATGGCCAGAGGATCGGGCTGGGCCTCCCCATCCCATCTGCTCACCTCCACAGGCAGGCAGGCTGCAGACCTGCACAGTGTCCGGCTTGGCCCCCTCGCACTGCCCGAGGGCACTGGAGCTGTTCCGGCACACCACCTGCCGTTGCTGGATGCCTTCTCCGCAGGTGGCAGAGCACTATATAGGAGCAGGAAGGCCAAGAACCAGACAATGCCAGGTGCAGGGTAGATAGGAGAGAGAGAAGAGGGGTCAGTAAACTCAGCGACAGAAAGGACCAAGAAGGCTGCTATGCCTTCCTTCATTTTGAGCAGACGGGCATGCAAGATCTGTAGCCTCACCAGGACCCTGCCATTGTCGGGTTCTCTGGAGCCAGTATGAAGAATGCTACCCAAGCTTGGGACTCCTTAGATCTTTCCACAATTTGAACTGTGAATGCATCTCAGGAGAGGGCTTCTGGGACCCCATTCTATCAACTGTGATCTGTTTTCACAGTCTCTACTCAATGCCCCATTCTCAACTATCTTACGTTTCATCCTGGCAGGCTCCTCTGTTGACTTACCACACGACAGAACCTGGGCTTGTAGGAGCCTGGGTTGTGGCACCTGCTGCTACACTGGCTCTGTAAACCAGGAGAGCTGGTGGGGGGCAGACCTTCAATAATGTTGGGGCTTCTTTCACCCAACATTGATTCGCAAGGGGGTGTCCATGGGGTCTTCTTCCCAGGGGAAGCATTGTTCGAGGACAGAAGGCAAACTGACCTCTGTGTGCAAGGCTATCAATGGCACCCACACACCTTCCTTGCACCTGACACACTCCTGACTGATAAATGGACTTGGGGGTACTGTGGGGGCAGGGAAGGGTCCCCGGGAAAGCCCTATCACCCAACGTGATTGGGTCACTTCTAGGCACTGCATAGCCTCTCCTAGCGGGACGGGGAAGAACTTGTTCTGGGGCATGTAACTGTTGATCAAGACACAAGTGTCACAGAACCAAAAGGAACCAGGGAACACATGGCTCCTCCTCCCTTGTGCCTGTCACACCCCCTGTGACCCTTGCAAGTCCAGCTGTGTTGTATGTAGCATCTGCCACTGGTTTGTCTGTCTGTCTTGCTCCCTCACTGGTCTGAAAGCTCCATGAGGGTAGGAGGCCAGCCTGTCCAGTGACACTGGGCTTCCAGCCTTCCTTGAATAACATCTGGCATACAGCTGTTGCTCCATACATATTTCTCGAACATAAGAATGTGCCTTAATTTGGTCATCTATGACATGGGGGCATGAAGCTTAGAGGAGATGAAAATGGAGGCAGGAGCCTCCACGAAGAACCATCACACATGGCGTGCCTGAAGGTTGCTCTCCTTCCTTCTGAGAAATGTCAGATCAACTGTGAGCCCAGAAACCCCTGCCCACAGGTACACGGGGACTCAGATTCCTCCCCTACCCACACCCATTTCTGTGCCACATGCTTTCACCCACTCTGCAAGGATCACTCACCTGGGACCAGGCTCCTGTCCGCCACTGGGCTGGGCAGGGCACTCGGAGGCACGGCCTCTTGACCTCTGGCCGGTTACCTAGGCAAGCCTTGGCTGGCATGGCCTTGCGGGTGCCGTTGGAGAGGGGCAGTAGGCATTGCACCCCCCGGGTCTGCAGCCCCAGCTTCCCACAGCTCCGGCTGCAGGCACCCCATTCTTCTACCACCCACCTGGAGACAGACAGGACAAAGGTGGAGGGAGGTGGGACCATAAGGACACTTCCCCTTGGGGCTGCATCCCACCAGAGAAGGCCTGTGCTTAATCTTAACCAGGGATTTACCACACTGGGGGCTGGTCTCTCAGTGACCAAAGAGGGAAAAGGCAATAGACAGTATTCTTGCCCAAAGATAAGAGCCCCATGCCTCACCAACAGAAAGCCCAGGTATTATCAGTGAACAAACACTAGTTGGGGCAAGGTGCTGCCATCCTCTTCCTGGCACTGGAGATTGGCAATGAAGAAACCCAACAGGGATGGTGTGCCATGGAGGGTGGTCACAGTGCCTGCTGTGGGCTGTTGTGTGTCCCCTACGAACCTGGCTGCAGGCGTTCTGTTTGAGGAAGTGCTAGCGTAGCAACTGCAGGTACCTTCCATGTGGGCCAGGGTGGAGAGAGGCAGAGGCCAGACTTTGCTCCCCTGGAACACTCACGTGGGCTGGGGACATGGGTGCTGGTTACAACGCCGTCGAATAGGCTTGGGCCTTTTTTTGTGGTCACACAGGTGCCGCTGCACCATGTGGTGGTCCCGGCGGCGCCGACAGCCATATTTAGTGAACTGAATTCCTGTAAAGATCGGGCTGCTGTGGGCCAGCTCGAGGCCTTCTGCTCCAGGCCTCCTGCCCTGTTCTTGTCCTCAGATAATCTATTGATTGCCTTCTTGCCCCGGTACTAAGTCCGACGCAAGTAACTTTCTATAGGGCTCTTCTCTCTGTCAGCACTGGCCGAGAGAGCAGTGGCTTGGAACAGCTGAACAGACAACCTACCCTGCAGCCTGCTCCCACAAGCCCCAGCTCCACCCAATGCTCTGCTCAGAACGGCCTCTAGGCATGGGAGATCATCAGTGAGAAACCGAGTCAAGAGAAGTTGACCCATCAAATGGAGGCACAGCTTCCTGACCGCTCCCTAGAATCTCTGGTCTATTCTCCCCCACTCCCGCTGCTCCCCACAATAGCTGATACCTCCTCCACAGGTCTTGCTGCAAGGAGACCAGCTCTTGAGAGCCCACTCATAGGTGTCTGTCTCTTCCAGGAGCACGTTATTGCTCCCGATGAGGGGCAACAGGTCCTCGTGGATGACGTACTTGTAGGCCAGGCTACCTCGGGGTTTACCCTCCACTGGGGGGAGCACCTGAGGGGAGACAAGAAGGAGGCAGCAAGGCCAGAGACAGAAGCAGGGCCGATAGAGTCCAAGGGGGTCAGAAATCTGTTGGGGACTGGGCAGAGGGCCTGGGACATGCCACGGTGACACTGTAGCCCACAAACACTCCATGAGGGAGTCTGATCATAGATTGGCACGGGAGAACACACCCACCACCTGAAACAGAAGCAGTCACTGCCCACAGCCACTGAGTTCCATAGTGCTCTTGGGTTTGTAATTGAGACATAACCACACCATTAATCCACCCTATTAAAGTGTGCAACCCAGTGATTGTCAGTACCTGGCTGGGGCAGGCGGGACAGTCACAAACTCCCACTGCCCATAGCGCCTGCTATGTCCCAAACCCAAGAGCAGCCAGTACCAGGCCATGAGCTGTTTTCTCTTCCATAGACCTACATCCTAACGGGGTAAGACCCATGACCCAAGTCTTTGGCATCTAAACTGTCTGACTTAACGAGGCTGCCAGTGAGCAACCTTTTAAACCTTCCCTCTTTCCTCTTCCTCTTCTCCACAGTTCCCCCACCCCACTTCTTCTTAGGCCTCACATTGCCCACATTGGCCTTGAACTCATGTAGAATGGGATGACTTTCAACTTCTGATCACAGGGGTAAACCTCTAGGCCCGGTGCATAGGATGAAGCCTGGGGCTTCATGAACTCTAGGCAAGCATTCTACCAGCTGAGCCACCTCTCCCCCATCTTCCTCTCTCCCTTTTCACTTCCTTTTTTTTAAGACAAATACTCATGTTATCCACCTCCCAAGAGCTGGGATTATAGGCATGTGCTACCATGTCTGGTTATTTTTACTTCTTACATTTTCTTTTGAATTACATTTATTATTTGAGGACAGGACTGGGGAAGGGGTGGATGCCGTGAGTATGGAGGCCAGAGGACATATGAACTCGGAACACTGAGCTCAGGTCATGAGGCTTGGCATTGGCACCAAGTGCCCTGAAGCAGGAACCATCTTGATGGCTCCCCTTCTTACTTCTGGACAGTGTCCTTTAATGCATAAATGTCTCCAGGTTGGTGACGTCTAAAGTGTTACATCTATTCCTTTTGTTGCTTGTCTCGTTACTGAAGAACAAAAGCTCGTGAAAACTTACCCATTTCCTTCTAAAGAGTTACAGGCTACCATTCGTACATTTAGGTCTTTCGTCTGTTTTGCATTACTCGTACATGGCATTAAGTAGAGGTCTGGCTTCAGCCTTTGACACATGAAAATGGTGATGTCTCAGCATCCTTTGTTGAGACTATTCACGCTCCCTTGACCGGCCTCGGTACCCTGAACAGACATCAGCTGGCTCCAGGCACACGGGTGGCCACACACAAGGTGAATGGGCAGGGTGTGTTAGATGGAATTCTTACACCAACAGCCTCAGAATTTGCCCTCCAGAGCACAACGTGACCACTGAGGGCAACACCAGGAACAAAGCCCATCCAAGGCCCGTGTTGTCAGCTCAGGCCGACGACATGGGGGCAAAGCTCTTGTTGACCAATCTGCTGAATTAAAAATTCCTGCCTAGGAACAGGAAAGGGACTCTAGGTACCAACGGACTGCAGTTAGGATAACGGCCCTGTTCATTTCTCAGAGGCTGTCATTGCCATGGTCTCTTCAGGCCCCAAACCACCTTAAGCCTCACACATATTGCCATGCCACAACGCACGGGGACGCTGAGGGGTGCTGTGAGGACAGAGGCACTAGCCCTAACTTCACAGGGCTGCCCTTCCGGACCCCGTTTCTCATGCCATGGAATCAGGAGCATGTAACTGCTGCATTTGGCCTCCCACATACCTGGGAAAGCGGGCACAAAGGACAGGAAAGGCCATTGCAGGCAAGGAGGCTCACCAGGACGGCGATGGCTTCTGGCAGGGGCCCGCTGGTCTTAAGGCTGTCCTTGGTCTCCTCTGCAGCATGTTCCCACTCCAATCCCAGTGCAGTGAAGGTCCTGCTAGAGGCTTCCTTGCCCTTAGGGTTGAGGATGAAGCTTCCGGTCACATGGTTCTTCACCGCTGGCCAGGGAGAGGGGCAAGGTTTTCTATTGCCCTCTACAGAGGCCCTGACTGACATCCATGGCTTTTCCAGGAGGCCCCTCCTCAGGTTGCTTGTCTACTTATCTCTCTGAGCTCCCCCATCAGGGCCACCCAGGAGCCCTTCGCAAACCTGTCCCCCGTCTGGGTCCAGATATACACCACTGATCCTTCATCACCTGTTTGCACACTGACTAATGACCACCCATAGTTATGACTCCACTTAACCCTTTTCAAAAAGTCCAGCTCTCAGAGATGTCCCTGTAGGATCTAAAGCAAAGCACAGAGCACAGGAGAGCAAGCTAGTTGGGGTGAGTTACTTTGTCCCCGTGCAGCCTCAGTTTTACCTTCTATATAAAGTGAAACTAGTGGCGCAAGCCTTTAATCCCAGCATTCGGGAGGTAGAGGTAGGCGGATCTCTGTGAGTTCGAGGCCAGCCTGGTCTACAAGAGCTAGTTCCAGGATAGGTACCAAAAGCTACAGAGAAACCCTGTCTTGAAAAACTAAAATAAATAAACAAACAAACAAACAAACAAACAAACAAACAAATAAATGTGAAACTAATGGCCGTAGCCAGCAGACAAGGTTGCTTGCCCAGATAGACCTTAAAGACACACTCTCACACACATACACACAACCCTCCCAGGCAGTGAAAGAAACTCATGTATGTAACAACCTCGACAACCTTTGATGTGCACCAGTTGCTGCCCCTGTGGTCACAGAACTGACAATGGCATGATGCTGGTGCTGGGAGACCAGGACCCAGGATAGTTCTGCCTTATCTATCCCCCAGGGGTGACTAAGAACCAGGAGAAGGCCCTGAATTGACCCCAGGCCTCAGTTTTTCTGTGGCTACTGTGTGGATGTAGTATGGCCTTTCAGGTGCGCTAGAGACACTGCCCCAGGAAGCTTGATGTTCCTCATGCTACCGATAATAATCTAAAATGATAATTGGAAACATTTTTGTGATAGCTGAGCTTGCCAAGAAACATCACATTTCACGTAAGTGTCTGTGATGCATAAATTGGAAGTGGCAGGACTTGGTAGCCTAACGGGCTGGAAAGGCCTCTGTGACATGCCACGGTGATATTGCAGCCTACATATCCTCCACAAGGGGGTCTGAGCACAGACTGACATTGGAAAACACAGCCATCCCCTGAAGCAGAAGCAGCCACTGTCCACAGTGGACAGGCTGGGTTCCAATCTGCCCTCTTGGGTTTACCATTGAGATGCAAGCCACACCGTGTAATTCGCCCTATTAAAGTGTGCAACCCAGTGATTGCTTGGCACATCCAATCATCATCACTGTGCAATCCCAGAATATTTTCACCACCACAAACGAACCCCAGCGCACATGCTCATTCATTGCACCCCCTCCCCCACACAGGCCCAACTGCCATGGATCTATGTGATGTCTTCTGAGAGGAATCTCTTTTGGACATGCTTTTTTTTTTGACTGCCAATTGGGTTTCAGTAAAGACAAAACCAAACCAAACAATAAAAACATCTTTCATATCACATTAATGTCTTAACATGAACTTTTAAAATTGAAAAAAAATTTTATTTATTTTTATTGGTGAGGGGAGCATATGCCATGGCCTAAGTGTGGGACAACTTTGTGGGCTTAGTTTTCTTCTATCTTTGTGTGGTTCTCAGGGATCAAACTGTGGTCACTCAGTTTATGTGAAAAGAGCCTTTATCTGTGGACCCATCTGGATGACTCTTAACTTGAATGTCTATTTTATTTTATTTTGAAAGAGAGTCTCGCTATGTACCCCTGGCTAGCCTGAATTTGCTACGTAAACCAGGCTAGCCTTGAACTCGCAGAGATCCTTCTGTTTATGTCTTCTGGGTATTGGGATAAAAGGTGTGCACCACTACCACCACTAAGTCTGGCCTTGACTTTTTAAGTTCAGTCTGTTTGGAGATTCTAATTTGTGTGTGTGTGTGTGTGTGTGTGTGTACGTACATGCGTACATGCACATGTTTTTCCATAGATGTACATGTTTGTATACGTGTATATATGCATGTATGTGTGTGGTTATAATGTGGAAGCCAGGGATCTTTGTCACAGTCTTCCTTAGTCACTACCTTATTTATCTATTTCCTCATTTTTGAGACCCTGCCTACGGCAAATGGTCATGGAGTAGACATCCAGTAAATAGTTCCAGATTTGCTTGCTGGCGTTGGTCATGGCTCAGCCAACTGCCAACACCGTCTCCACACTTCCTAGACCAAGTAGCTCCCAACCGACCCACCAATTGCCACCGTTTGCCTGTTTGGGCTCAGGAAACAGGAGAAGAACCACCCAGCTCAGCCAGTCATGACCACGGTCACAGAACTGAGATCCCATAAGAACTGCTGCTTTTAACCCTTATATTCTGGGTGGTTTGCCAGGAAGCAAGAGCTGCCGAGTCCTTCTACAAACACGACTTTTCTTAGAAGTCATCTGAACAGTAGCTGCTCCCAGTGGGAAGAGACTGGCCCTGAGCAATGGGTGTATTTGCTAAACTCCCCCTTAGACCTTCAGGAATTTGAGTTACGGGACAGTTCATCCATTCAGCATAAATTTAGGAATTAGGAAGGGTTGTCTTTGTCTAAGTCTGTGAGGCCCCACCTGCTCTCTGGGACCCGTTCTATCCCCCCCCTTACCCACCCCCAGCACTCACCAATGCGGTGGGGCATCTTCTCCAGCAACTCAATCTGAATGTGCCTGGCACCTGCCGGGATCTGCACCTGTTTGAGAGTCGCTGCCACCCAGGGGCATCCAGGAAAGAAAAGAGAGTCCTAAGAGGGTGGTTCCCTGCTCAGCACCCCACCCACCTACCCCACACCACTAGGAACACTAGAACCTCTCAGACATAGAACCTTTCAGAACACGAAAACACCCTTGGATGGAAACCGGGGTTGGGACCTTTACAAGGAGGTCAGGGAGGCACATGAGATGCTGTGGCTCCAAGTGTCCTCTAAGGGTTTCTCCCACGTGCACTGATGTCCGCATGTGTAAGTTGTGTTTATTTCCCATTCTTGGCCTCCTTTTCTGATTTCTTTTCTGACTTTCACGCCCCCTCTTTCCTTCCTAAGCTACTGTGGGGATTTAGACGAAATCAGCCATGAAGGTCCTACAGGGCTCTCTCGGGCTGATTCAAAGCTTGGACTCAAGTCTTTCATGGTCACCAACCTTCCCCTGTTTCAAAGGGTGAGGCAAAGCTGTACACTCCTCCAAGGGGACCAGACTCACTCCACACAGGAGTCTAAAGAAGTTACTAGTCCTCTTCCACAGCGAGTTTGGTAAGGATGGAGGTGGAAATGAAAGAACTCAGGTACCAGAAATTCAAAGCAGAAAATGTCCCGGACTTTGTTTTTAAAATGAGAATAGGAAATGAGCGATTCAGTCATGGCCAAGCCATTAATACGGTCTGACCCCCTCACTCCTACCAAAGGCCCAGGGTCAAAGAGATGGCTGGGCACATGTCCTCCCATGTTATCTACCCCTTTCCCCAAAAGAGCTTTTTGAGCTCCTGGGCTCTGGGTCTACGCTAGCATGCCAGAAGAGAAGGGACCAACCACGGGCAGTCTGAGACGGTCTGCATACAGGTTCCAGAACCCTCCCCTCCCCAGCACTGGTCAAGGAGAAGCACACCCCCCCACACCCCCACAGAGCCAGCTGTGCTTACCTGCCTGCTTGGAGGCCTTCCCCAGCGTCCCCTTCACAGTCCTGCAGTGAGAGTTGTCCCCACCACAGACACCACACTTGTCATCCGCCTTCATGGATCCCACTTCTTTGTCACAACCAAAGGGCTGGGGGTGGAGGTGAGGTCAGTGGAAGGAGGCTCCCCTGCCTCTACCTCTCAGGTCCCTTGGCTCCCTTCTGAGACTCCTGGCCCTGGCCAAAGGGGGAACCCTGGAACATGGGAACTCCCCAAAATTCACCCTGTGACCCAGGTGAAGAATTACCCAGGGTGGTACTTAATGAGTCTCAAATTGCCTTTCTTCCCTAACTGTGTAGGGCAGAAAGGGACCCCTCTGCGGCAGTCCTAGCTGTTCTTAAGTGTGGCAGGTGAGCAAAACCAACCCATCATCCAGGGAACCAAAAGGTGGTAGGGCATAGACAGCTTGCAGGGGTACCCACCACGCACTCGCCGCGTGCACAGACGCTGTAGGGGTCCCGATAGCTGCAGCGCGTTCCATCATGGACCACTTGGTTCATAAATACCACATCTCCAGTGTCTGCAGACTGGCAAATAAGCTCACACTTCTGGGCATCTGTGAGGAGGGAGATACCGCTAAGCCCCACTGGGTCGACAGAAAGCAGGAGGGCTCAGGATGTTGCCAGCGTGTGACCTAGTCAAGAAGTCCGGGGCCAGCTCTGGGCAGTGACGGAAGCTCTGTCTGGGCCTTGCTGTGAAATTTATGGATTGGTCTTGTGACCTGAGGCAAATGTCTTGAGCCTTTTTGAGCCTCTGTTCCCTTATTTTCATGATTGCCAATCAGTAAAATGTATTATCAGTTTGTTGAGAAAAATCTATTGATAAACCACCAATCGTAAGCCAACATCTACAGCTAGAGAAACAGCTCAGCGGTTAAGAATACTCGCTGCTCTTCCAGTAGACCTGAGTTCAATTCTCAGTACCTAGGATGGGCCGCTAACAACCAACTGCAACTCCAGTTCCAGGGGATCGTCTGGTCTCTGTGGGCACCTGCACACACATTCACTCTCACGAGTGTGTGCACACACAATTAAAAATAAATCACATCAGATGCTCACTGGCTACCAGATCCTCCCAAAAGCCCTTTCACACTTTGAGAAACAATAGTTTCTCACAATGACTTGATTCGTCTCATTTCAACATCCGAGTGAGGAAGGTTCTAGCGGGATAGGGCATACACTTATTTTTTTTAGTGACCCAGTGAGTTTAATTAGGGTCACTTACATGAACATTGGTGAGGGGTTACTTAGAGGAGCACGGGCAACTTATAGTTGCCACAACCACCTTACCCCGCTAGAAGACAGAATTAGTATTTCCTCAGGAACCATCCACTTTGGGTTTGTAGGTATGTCTCTCTCTCTCTCTCTCTCTCTCTCTCTCTCTCTCTCTCTCTGTGTGTGTGTGTGTGTGTGTGTGTGTGTGTGTGTGCTGCTTGCACATGTATGAATGTATAAGCATGTGGAGGCCAGAGATGGACATCAGGCACCTTCCTCAGTCACTTGCCATTAATATTTTGAGACAGAGTTTCTCATTGAACCCGAAGTTCACTGATTTGGCTGGGATCAGTCTCCCTAGTACTGGGGTTATACATAGGTGCCATGGTGCCCAGCCTTTGTGTGGGTCCTTGTTGTTGCTGTTATCTTTTATTTTAGGGGCCCATTCTAATCTTCTCTGTATTGTTCCAATTTTAGTATATGTGCTGCCGAAGCAAGCACCCTGTCTTGATTCTTTTGAGACAGGGTCTTTCATGGGATCTGGAGTGTGTCAATCAGTCTAAGATGGCTGGCTAGTAAACCCCAGGGACTCAACTTTTCCCCTAGTGTTGGAATTACAAAAATATGCCATCATGCCTATATTTATCTTTTTAAAAAAGATTTAAAGACTTATTTTTAACTTTTCATGTGTATGGGTATTTTGCCTGCACATATGTATGTGCGCCATGTGTGTGCAGTGCCCATGGAGGTCAGAAGAGGGCATCAGATCTCCCTAGAACTGGAGTTAGATTGATGTTAGCCACCATGTGGTGCTGGAAATCAAACCCAGGTCCTCTGGAAGAGCAGTCAGTATTCTTAAACTCTGAGCCATTTCTCCAGCCCCAGACTTACATTTTTAACATGGAGTCATTCAACTTCACACATTTGCAGAGCAAACACTTTACCAACTAAGCTATGTTCTCAGCTCCCCTCCCCAACCCCAAGGGGTACTGGGAATCAAACCTAGGGTCTCATGCATGCTAGGCAAGTGTTCTACCACTGAGCCTCCCCCCAGCCCAGGTTCTACCGCCACAGAGGAAACATGGGACCAGAGGCTAAGTCATTTGCTTAAGGCCACACATGGACTGGCTCAGCCAAGTTTCTAACTGCAAAGTCACTTGGGTCTTGCTTTGGCTCTGCAGCCTGGTTAGGCACATCAGTACGAGAACTGTATGTCCCAAAGTGAAAAATGTTCCCTTCTTTCTCCCAGCTGACAATGTCCTAAAAAGGAAGTTGCAGAGAACATATAAACACTGGCCGTGTTTCTTAGAAAAAGTGAGGTTGGGGGCTTAGCTCACTTCCTGGAATTGGTTTAAGTTCTGGGAAGGCCTGAGGTCCAGCTGTTCTTCGACCTTCTTGCCCTTCCTGCCCAGGCCTCTCTGCTTAGCTCCCTTCCCAGTGACCTGCAGCCCATCCTGAAACCTGAGTCCAGCCAGTGTCTGCTCCTCTCTCCAAGCTCCCAAGACACTGTCACTCCTGTCTCCCTCACACAGGACTCCAGTATGGAGTCACGACAGCTAAGACCACTCAGAGAACCTGCTTGGGAGTCAGATTCCCAATGAGGTCTGAGTCTCAGAGCTTTACCTCCAGGTGAGAAGTGGGCCCAGCAGGCAGGTGTTCTGGGCATCTGCTAGAGGCAAAGGAGTGGTGAGCTCCCCAGAGTGGGAGGCATTCAAGCAGAAGGAAGTCCCTGCCTGCTTTTGCAAGGGCAATGCTGAGAAGTCTGGGACTCTGAAGTCCCTTGCAACCTGAGGAATCTCCCATAAACCTGAGTCCAGGAGCTCAGGGTAGTGATGCCAACTTGGGCTTGGGAAGCCACTGTTCTCACAAAAGCTGCCTAGGATCCAAGAGGTGGGAATCACGGCACCAGCAAAGCCCTTCCAGTCTCTGGCCTGAAGAGCCAGGCAACCTGGCCATTCCTGGTCTAAGGCTACAGCAGGAGCGCTCACTGGGCATACATGCAAAGACCGGGGGTTGGTCTCAGTGTGAGCCTAGCACCAGGCCTTCCAAATCCTAAGGCCTCTGTCTATTTCTCAGGTTCCCACCCTCTTGCTTTTCAAATGACCTTCAGTAACGGCTAAATGGATGCTTTACCCATGACACCTAGAAGCCTGGTCTGCAGTGATTGAAGCTCTTCTGGACACAGTGCTACGTCCCTGGGGAGTGACGAGAGCCCAGGGGCCACACGTAGGTTTTCCCCAGGACTTTGAGACAAACTCCAGGAAGTAAACTAAGTCTTTGCTTTTCCTCTCTCTCTCTGTCTTTCTCTCTCTCTCTCCCTCCCAGCCTCATTTTTTGAGATAGTGTCTCACTATGTATCTTTGGCTGGTTTAGAATTCACTATGTAGACCAAGCGGCATTTAACTCACAGAGACCTGCCTGCCTCTGCTTCCCGAGCGCTAAGATTAAAGGTGTATGCCACCACATATCTGGCTAACTTTTTCTTCAATGTTCTCTGTAGTCTCTTTCCTAGGGCAGATACCTTTTTATACAGGTAATGAAAAATATCTGAAAGCCATCCAGCTCTGTGACCAGCTATCAGCATTCCTGGAGAGGAGGCCCCTTCCCCAAGCTGCTTGCCTTGAAACCAGGGATGGATGGCCTCAATGATAATGGTGGCTCCAGAAGTACAGGACACACAAGACACTCAGGCATACCCAAAAGACTTGGGTGCGTCTGCCCACCAGCTCCCTGTGCCACCCCCAGGTCCCTGTGCCCCGACAGGTGGGAGAACAGGAACGGGCACATGCTCCAGAGCTGGGCAGAGCGGGGCCACTCACCATCGTCAGGCTCGTAGGGCAGCCAGCTGTGCCTGGCATTCTGGTGGATGTAGTAGGAGTTGCGCTTGGCACACTGCTGGGCCCGGAAGTCTTCGTAAGGCCCAGGACAGTCGTCACTGTTACAGATCTGGTACTCGAACATAGGTCCTGTGCATGAGCGGCCTCCATAGGCTGGACTGCAGTGGCAGAGAGACCAGGGGATCTGGCTGGCTGGGAAGGCTGAGAAGAGGGGAGCTTCCTACATGGCATTGCGACACTCAGTCCTATAGTAGCTGTGGGAGACCTCCACTGACTTAGCCACTCCGTAGTGACCAATGTTGGGTCTGCTGAACTCGGGGCCTTCTGAACCAACTTTCTCCTTTATTACTTTCTTTTCTTTTCTTTCTTTCTTTCTTTCTTTCTCTCTCTCTCTCTTTCTTTCTTTCTTGTTTTGTTTTTCGAGACAAGGGTTCTCTGTGGCTTTGGATGTAACTAGCTCTTATAGTTCCAGGCTGGCCTCAAACTCACAGAGATCCTCCTGCCTCTGCCTCCCAAGTGCTGGGATTAAAGGCGTGCACCGCCACCATCACCCAGCTTCCTTTCTTTTCTTTCTGAGACAGGGTCTCATATAACTCAGGCTGGCCTTGGACTCCGTAGCTGAAGCTGGCTTTGACCTTTGGATCTTCTAGCCTCCACCTGCAGAGTATTGGGAGGTATCTGCCATCATACTCGATTTATATGCTGGCAGGGGTTGAACCCAGGGCTGCACGCCAGGCAAGCACTCCACCAAGGGAGCTACCGCCCTAGCCTCTCCAGACCCTCTTTCTCCCGGACTATTTCACCTGCAAGAATAGAGCTAGCTCCTATCTCCCTGGGGAACGGTAGCAGAATGACAGACAGATACAGGGACTGGCTAGCCCCCCTCACCAGTCAGCCGTCACTCTTGCTTATTCTGCAAACCCCTCCAGTCCTTACTGCAGACTGGGTGTGGACTGCCGAGGACGAGGAGTTCTCCACATCCACTTTGTTTCATAATAATAAACTTAGGAACAGTCCAAGAGACTTGGAATTTGAGCCAAAAGAGCTGACATCCTAGTCCCAACCCTGCAGCCTTGGGTCAGTCACTTGGCCTTGTTATTCCTTGATTTCTCCCATGAAATGTGGGGCTATCCCAACTCACCTCCTGTTGTGACACACCATAGCAGGGCAGAGCAATCAGACACTCATCTCCATTAGGTCAAGAGCATTAGAAGAGACTGTCAATACTGGAGCTGGCAAGGCAGCTCAGTGGTTAAGACTACTGGCTACTCTTGCAAGTTCAGTTCCCAGCACCCACATGGCAGATCACTACTGTCTGTAACTCCAGTTCTCAGAGATCTGATGCCCTCTTCTGGCCTCTTCAGGCACTGCAAACACACAGTGCGCATACAGACATGCAGGCAAAACACATAAAATAAAAATAAATTTTATAAAAGACTAGTAAGCCAGGTGTGGTGGCACACACCTTTAATCCCCAGCACTTGGGAGGCAGAGGCCAGTCTGGTCAACATACTGAGCTCTAGGCCAGCCAAATAGGCCAGAGTGAGGTCCTATCTCAAACAAAACAAAACAAACAAAGAAAGACCTATCAGTATAAAGTATCCATTTATAGGATATAATAGCTCCCTGCATGGAGACACTAGGAGAACTCTGGGCTTACCACTTGAGCACATAGCATCCTGCACACAGTGTTGAGAATGCTTCCAAACAGCAACAGCTGTTGCCTCTGGAGTACTTAACCCATGCTCTGGTGCTGAGCACACATAATATTCCATTTAAGGTGCATATAACAAAAGCTGTTACTACAGGAAGCTTACTAAACGGTAGCTGTGATCAAGGGGATAAGTTGCTGGCACATGCAAGGTGGTTTATCAGAGCAGGCACCACTAGGCTTCCTGCCACCTTGGAAAATTACAAAGAAGTCCATGCTGACTGTCATTCGTGCAACATGGTTAGCAAAGACACTGGTTGCCCTGGAGGCAGTGAGCCGCCCATCCTCACAGGTAAACAGTGCGCCACCAGTAACCACTGTCTCTTTTTTTCTCTTACTGCATGTGCGTGAGTGTGTGGTGTGCGTGTGTGTGTGTGCGGGGTTACAAGTGTATGGATGTATACGTGTGTGCATGTGTGCGGTGGCCCAAAGTTGACACTGGGTGTCTTCTGCACTTTTTACTTTATTCACTTACCTTGCTGGTTCTGGCTAGTCTTCCCAGCCACTTTGCCCCGGGGAACCCTGCATCCTCATCTCCCAAGCGCTAGGATTATGAGCAGCCATCGTCATGCTTGGCCAACTTTTATTAGGTTCTAGAGAATCCGAACTCCAGTCTAGCTTGCATGACAAGGACTTTAATCACCGAGCCCCAAATGACTACTATGTCTAAGGGCTCTGGATCCACTGTAGCCATGTGACCTGTTATTATGAATGTTTATTATGTTATTTGGTACAAGGAGGGCCTCAGCCAGGCCCTGTGGAAGTCTCCAGACCAGTGGACTCGTGGCGGCTTCATCCAGTTTACCCATTCCTCATTAGGGTGTCCTAAGCAAGCAGTTTCATTCTGGGAGATGAGGACTGTGGGGAACCGGGGCTTGGACATTCCACAGCTGTGACATAGGGGAGGGAATCCTACCAAGATGACAAAAAGGGACAGACAAGTGGTGGGGAATGGAGGAACAGGTGTTAGACAGAAGTAGTTAAAAAAAAAAAAATAGGAAAGCCAGGTGGTGGTGGTGCAGGCCCTTCATCCCAGCACTTGGGAGGCAGGGTTAGGCGGATCCCTGTGAATTCGAGGCCAGCCTGGTCTACAAGAGCTAGTTCCAGAACAGCTAGGGTTATTACACAAAGAAACCCTGTCTCAAAACAAAACAAAACAAAAAAGGAAAAGTAAGTTTGTGTATGTGGCAGAAAGCAAACCTGATGATGTGTAATGCATTGAAACTTGGGTTTACTCAGAATTTGGCCGAAAGATTGGGTGGGTGGTGGGAGGTCTTGAGTACCTGGCAGAGTCCTGGGCCCACCCACTCTCTCTGGGGACTCCTCTGGATATGACAATTTGAAATGCGACTTCAGGCACATTTCTGGAAGGCAGCCCCATGGCTCACTAGCAAATGCAGGTAGGAGAGACCTACCTTGCTCCAACATTCTGGGTTCTTATCCAGGTATCCCTTGACTGTAGGGGTTGCTCCCCTGTACTCTGCCCACTACCTTCCCCCTCTGAGTGTCTCTCATCTGGTATCTTTGGCCCTGCCCACCTCAGTCCACTGCACTCACGGAGGGTTGTCGCAGCTCCGGCTTCGGGATCGCACTCCACCTCCGCACGACCGAGAACATGAACCAAACTTGGTCCAGGAACTCCAGCCTCCATCCTGGCCGTAAGTTTGCTCCGGTGACTTCCAGATACAGTGACCCTTGAAGCACCACTGGGGTAGAACAGAGGGCCTACGGTCACCTTGGGCCACTGCAGTGGAGCCTACAACAAGGGTGTCCCTTGGGGCACACAGCACAGCTGATAGATACCACGGCAAGGCCAGCAAGAGAGAGCCATTAAGAGATTAGCCTGGCGAATGAACTGGACAGGATCCCAGTCCTACTGGAATACAGGTAGCGGAGCCACCTCAAACAAAAGGCTTGCTGTCCTGGGTGTCGCCATCTTTCTCCAGTGCAATGCTGGTAACAGCACACACAGCCCTCCAGAAACAGTAAACATTCATTATCCAATGATAATGGGCTACTATTTCCAGCATCACCCTGTCGGGTGTGGGCAGGGCTGAAGGGGGAAGGAAAGACAATCGTCTCTCCCTGTCTGAAGCTGACCTGTTCCCTGAAATGCCCCGCTAGAGACCATAAACGTGTATGAGCCAAGTCTGTGGCCTGAAGCCAAGGAATAGACACACAGAATCTGAACAGCCTGGGTTTGAATCCCAGCTCAGCTGTTACGAGATGTGTGCGGCCTCTTCACTTTAGTGGAGCTCAGTTTACTCTTTGGTTAAACTGCCCACAGAACTGAAGGTTCAGGGCTGGATACTCAGACGAGGCCTAAGGTGAATAAGCTCTTCCATTTTATCACAGGGAATTGAGAAAAATACAGCATTTTCTGGATGTTTCTCAAGAGATGAACTGTTCATCTTGGAGTCCCCTAGATACCTGCGCTTCCCCAGATACCTGCGCTTCACCCAAACAGTTGAGCCAATCTTTTAGGATCCTGAGATGTTCCCAGTGAAGGGTTATTTATTTACAGATCACAGCGGCCTCTCATTCTGAGTGTACAACTCAATATCTCCATAATCCAAAGTGCATATCCTGTCCGCACCACAGTCGAACTTCAGAATATTTTCACCACCACCCCCAAAACTCCTCTGTACCCTTCAGCGGCCACCTTCTACTCCAGTAGGGGGATTTATAAAGTCCCTCAAATGATGTGTAGCCAAGGTAGAGACCCATTGGCTAACTGCATGCAGGGCTGTGACTGGGAGGGTACGTGACTTTAAAGGGGCTCCTTAGGGCTCTTGGACCGGACAGGGATTTCCCTGCCCTATACAAGCCCAAGGAAGCAAACATCTCTATGTGGGGTGGGGAAGAGGTGCCAGGGAGCAGGGGAGTAGGTGGGATAGGTGGAGTCCCCCCTTTATCCCTCTCTGTTAGTCACTCGCCCTGTGGCCTGACCTTAGCCCATTTGGGGTTCAGTCATCTCATCTATGCAGTGTGAGGAATTGAGCCTGCTGTAGCTCAAATGACCGTGCTAACCCAGGCTGACCATAGAGACCAAACGACTGTGCTAACCCAGGCTGACCATAGAGGCCAAACGACCGT